TGAGGGGGAGAATGCCAGCCTGGTAGCCTATTGCGACAGCAATTGGGGCAGCGAGATGAGCGTAGCCCGGAAGAGCACCAGTGGCGGAGTGATCTACATTGCAGTGGACGGTCTGTGGTACTGCATAAAGGGGTACAGCCGCCTGCAGAGCGTCGTGGCACTCAGCTCAGCAGAGGCAGAGTTGTTTGCCATCGCCGAGGCAGCGAAAGAGGTGGCAGGACTTGCGCAATTGACGGCGCATATCTGGGGCACCCTCCAGAAACCCCACCGCGTGTACACTGACTCTGCCTCAGCTAGGCAAATTGCCAGCATGGAGGGGCTACTCAGGCGCATGCGGCATATAGACTTGAGGTTGTGCTTTATCCAAGACCGTGTCCATAGCGGCGAGTTGGCAGTAGAGGGAGTAGCCGGAACCGAGAATGTGAGCGATCTTCTCACAAAGAATTTAAATCGCCTCCAAACAGCAAAGCATACAGCAACCCTCGGACTAGAAGATGTGACCAGCATCGATTTCCGAGAGGTCCCGGCAGTCAGGTCTTGCTTGTTGCTGTCTGGAGTGCTAGATTCGATACTCGGGCCGGACAACCTCGAATACGAAGCTTTCTGTCGGCTATGCGAACTCGAGACTGAATATTCAACTTTGCTGATCGAGTTTTGCACGAGTTCACGTTCGAATCTGTACCTGCAAGGAAGTGTGCACCAAGTATTTGTCCTGCCGATTACTCAAGGGGTTGACGGAACCTCAAATGACACCGTGGAGCGGGTCATGTCTGCAATGAATGTTGCGAGAGAATGGGGGATGAAGGTTGTTTTCTGGAGCAGCACTCCTTGTACCGGAGGTAGCCCGTACCAACGGCGACACGAAGATCGGCCGGGCTATCAGGACCATCTACAAGCTTTATTCACGGTGCATCGCAAGCTCTGGCGGAGCTTCTTAGTGATGGTGAACCACCCGCAAGTAGGGGTATGGGTCATAGAATGGCCGCAGCGGTGTGCCTACTGGGGATGGGCAAGTACCCGTTCGTTTGCAAGGCAACGAACCCATTACACCGGCGAAGTGCACGGCTGTGTTTCAGGCTTGGTAGGCAAAGATGGATTGCCTATCCGGAAGATCTGGAAACTGATGTCGAACGATGAACAGTTTGTGCGAACAATGTCCGAAACGTTTGCATGTTCCTGCAAGGGAGATCATTCACGAAACTTTGATCTCAAAGACACGCAGCACTATCCGCCAGCTTTCGCGGACGTCGCCCTGGAAAGCTTGCGACTGCGGTAATTCGCGCCCGCCCGCCCGCCCCTGGCTTGCCCGCCCACCCGCCCAGCCAGGTTGCTTTGCGAGAGTTAGTCGACCTCCAGCGGTCTGAAGCAGTGCAGCGGTCTAGGTCTGAGGAATGCGCCGGAATCCATGGCCCGGCGAGAAGCTTAGTTGGCTTTGCGTGGAGCTTAGTTGACGTGACCAACAGTGAAACTCTTGGTCATGAGGGGGAGTTGATATATGTGACTGATTGGCTCAAGATCTCGGCTCAACCCCGGTGGGGTGCACAGGTAGCAGAGCGGTAGCTGTGTGAACCAGCCTCGAGTCCCCTAACTGTTTTGGGTACCAGGCCTGCTTTTTCACAGCCTTCATTTGAGCCATGCCCAGAGCACCTGTGCAGTCGAGATCCTCACTGCCAGCAAGTGATGGGTTGGAGTCATCTCACCCAACTTGCTCTGCAGAGAGCCAGAAAGAAGGCACGGCCCGACTGGAGGGCGAAGCAGCCCGGCTTGGGGAACTCTTCCCTTATGCGAGTCCTCTTACAGCCGGCTGTGGAGTTTCTCCAGCCTTGGAAGACCAGGTAAGATGCTCGAGCAGCCTGGCAAATCCAGAGCGAACTTGGGCCCATAGAGCCAATTGTGGTCCCAGCCAAAGCAGGACTTTCCACCAAGCACTCTGCTTTCGCTGGCATCACAAGGGCCGGAAAGAGTGGCTGCTCCTCTCCGAGGACAGCAGCGTGTATTTTGTTCGCACCAGCAAATCCGGCAAAACAGTCCGAGCCGGACCCTGTGGGCAATGGAGATGCATGGAAGACCCAGCAGAGCTCCACGGGGGAACGGGAGGCGACCCGCCCGTGCAGTGGCTTCGCCTTTTGAACTTTAATTGCACTGGCTGTGGTAACATTCCAACCCATAACCTCAACTTCTTGCCCGGTCCTGGGAAAAGGCAACCAGCGATCTTGCATGGAGAGGATGGAAGACGCATCGAGCTCTACTGTGCCCTTTGTCTAGAAAGCTTCCTAGCGTGCACGTGGAGCTGGCCGAGTTTCGACCAAGCAGTTAGGAGACCGGTGTTTCTGGACTACGCTTCCCTTGCTAACTTGCGTCAGTTAGGTCACCAAGGTACGGAGCCCGTAGAACCTTTGCTGGCGCCGCTGTCTTCTGCAGCCAGCGCACATGGCTGGACCTTCCTTGAGGAAGGGTGTTCTCAGGATCTAGACTCCCCAGAAGAAGCAGGCAACAGTGATTGGCTAGTGTGTGGCTTTGAAGACTTGGAAGACGTCCCCTGGGAGGTCTGACCTAATCCGGCCCCAACCCACCCAAATTGCAGGAGCTATGCCCTGCCAGAATCAAGGGTGAGATGCTCACCCTCCGGAATCCCTTTGTCACGGGTGAAGCTTCTCCCCGTCCAATCAGCGACGGTCCTGTGAGTCCGTTCCCAAACTGAGAGTGCCATAGGGCACCACGGAGAATCTTGCATAGAATTGGATCATTTAATGATCGCATAAGGATGCAGGTTGTAAGAATGCAAGCAGAAGTGCTCAGTCCCGGCACGTACCCAGATCCATCCGTCGGAATATTTTCGCAGTTGTTCCGATGGACACCCTGCAGGACAGGCCGCCTCGATGCGGCTTTTGTTCAGCCTGACACCGGTTCGGCCCCTTTGCTCGGTCTGTGCAGCAGACCGCTGGACCGGGTTTTCGGGCTCAGGTGCTTGTGGGCCTTCCACAGGCCCAACACGGGGTTCTCGCAAACACAGCGCACGAAAGGATAACGTTAGAACCGCACCCTGAAGATCCTCACTGGTTGATGAGGGGAGGGAGGGCGCTGAGGTGTGGCAGGAACGGACGAGGATCCTAGTACGCCGACCGTATGAGGTTTAGGGCATTTCCCTGCATCAGTTTGGGGTTACCCGTGTTTGGCCTGTCGAGGATCTCCTTTGAGATTCCTGCAGGGTGCTGTTGTTTCTCTCCGGGTGGTGCAAGCCCATCTTGGAGGAAGCCTAGCGGCAGGCGTTGTTGTTAGGGACCAATGCTTGGCTGACGGACAGCCAGAGGCACCAGATTGTGGAGGTTAAAGGCTGTGGCTCGGTGCCTGAAAGCCTGCCCAACTGAGCTGCCCAAATCAACCAAGCCCTCCCTGCGTGCAAGTGGTATGGGCTCCTTGGAGCCGCTGAGGTTGAACCAGTTAGTAAGAGCGAGAAAGCTGGTTCCCCTCCCTGGTGAGTAAGTGCGAGAAAGCCAGGTCAGCAAACGGGGCTAACAGGAGCTCAGTGCTGCTGCGGCATGAGTTCCTGGGGCCTAGGTTAGTAAGGGCGAGAAAGCCTAGGCCTGTGCCGGAGGTTGGCGACTTTGCCAAGCCACTTGCGTTCAGTTTAGTACAGGCATTGCCCATGTATCGGTTCCAGACCTTCTGCCTTTTCTGAGTGAGCCGGAAGTGGGTGAGTTTCTCCCCTGTACTGGCAGGGCTGATAGGGTAGGCAGTACAGACCAGGCAGTTCAACCTGCAGAACATTTTGCCTAGGGCTTTGTACAGTGCCAAACCAGTGAGTAGCCGTAGGCCGCCGAGCTTCTCGCGGAACTGGTTAGGCCCTTTTTCTTCTCTCGGTGCTCCCTGCACATAGTACGGCCGTGTCAAGCAGGCCAAGGACACCTCGAGAGTCCCTTTTCCGTGCATAGTTAATACCTACCGGAACTCCGGTTCCGAAGAGCCTAACCTGGCTAGCGACTCAGCCCGCTTTCGAGTGATATATGTGACCCTCCTAGTTTCCCAGTTGACACGTGATATGCACTTGAGTTGTCTGCTATGAGTGTGAAGCATAGGCACGAGGACATGTCAGGCAGTGCAGATTTCTTTTGGCTTGGTGAGACCTTGTTTTGAGTGGGAGGAACCGTTTTCTGTTCGTTTTCTCGAAACTCGTTTGTCGGAACTCGTTTCCTGTTTGTGACCTGGTATTTGGTGACCAGAAGTGACTCAAGCCAGTTTAGGTCTGCACAGAGCTCAGCAGAGCACCTAAGAGGTGCTAGGAACCTACCCACAGTGTTTAGGAGTAGAAGTTCCATGGCTGAGTGTTTTTACCTGAAGTACCTTTGTTTTCCCATGTCTGGCAGACAGTGTTTGAAGCTGGAGAGCCGTGCTCGCATTGGCTCAAGACGAGCGGAGCTCGAGAAGCTGTGAACAGCGCAGTGAAAAGAGTCCGCACTTCGTGCTGTGAGGGTTGAGTGTAGTCTTGACCTGAGGTCCCTTAGGCCCCGTAGCTGTGCCACGAGTTTCAACGGCGGTTGCCATGCTGAACGTGGTCCTTGCTGAAAACAAGAAACCCCGCTTGATCATGGATGGAACTATCAGTGGGACCAACCCGAGCTGTTTCATGAACGAGAAGTACAACCTCCCTGGCCTGCAGGATGTTCGCTCTTGCTTTCCTCTCCGCGGGTGCCAATCTCAGCACGCAGGTTAACAATCCGTATCAAGGAATCGGAGCGTGGTCTGTGCGGCATCAAGCTGGAGGACGGCCGCCATTACTGGTATCGCGTGTGCCCCTTTGGTACGAATTTCTCAGCTCTTTGGTGGGCGCGGCTCTCATCCTTCATGATCAGGGTTTTCCATCTTCTATTATGGGTCGCACATATGCTCAGCATTTATGTGGACGATCTTTTACTGGTCCAGGATGATGCTGTGGTGGCAGTGTTCGGCAGCTTGCTTCTTTCTTTCTGCAATCCTTCGGGATTCCTCTTTCCTGGGCCAAGGTACAACTCAGTCATGAGCTGAAGTGGTTGGGCTGGTGTTTTAACTTTCGCGCCGGAACGTTCTGGGTTCCAGAAGATAAGCGGGCCAAGCTGCTGCATCAAGTCCGGGTCCTTCTCAGAAAAGGTCCTGTCGAGAAACAGGCCCTAGAGCAGACCGTGGGTCTGTTGATGTGGATAACTCAGGCATCGGTGCAGCTGCGCCCCTGGCTTTGCAACCTTTGGCGGGACCTTCAACGTCCGGCAGCGACAAACTTCAGCATCTCTTCCAGTGAATGGCAGACGCTCAAGGATCACCTGGATGAGAACTTGCGGTTCTGTTCTACCCCGCCTGGGACGGCCATTCCATGCGGTGCTACCTTGATCTCTGCACGACACATCCCACTTCGCAGCAAGGCAGATCTGTGCAAGGTCCCTTTGACAACTCGTCGCGTCTACATGCGGATTGCTGACCCGCAACACCGGAAGCGGCATGTGTCCGAGGCGAGCCGTCGCTTCTTGCTCTTCTGGGAGGACTGGTGTCTCCAGTCTCCATCACTCACATGCTTGCAACCTTCTTGCAGGGCGATCTCCGCAAAACTTGCAGCCGATGCGTTTGCTTCCAGCCAGTGCATTGGGATTGGGGGCTTTCTTCGTGTCCAGGGCTCCTCGGCAGTTTGGTTCAGTGAACGTTTTGATCTCTCCGATATGCAATGCTTGGGGGTGCCTCTCGCCCCGGACGCTCAGAAGAACATTGGTTGCTGGGAACTGCTCGCCCAGATGGCCCTGCTCATCCTCTTTGCGGAGGTCTGTCCGGGTGGTCGTGCTGGCTTGTCGCTCCGCACCTTCTGCGATAACAGCGCGGCTGAGTCAGCAGGCAATCGCATGCTGACAACTTCCAGCCCCCTTTGCTTTTTCGCGCAGCAACTGGCGTGTCTTTCATTCCAGCTCGGCTCGGCCTCACCTTGGACATCCAGCACATCTCCGGCTTTCGCAATACAGAAGCAGATTTCTTGAGTAGATGGCAGCCGCCGGCGGAGTTGCAGCACGGGTTTGAGCTCTTGTACAGGTATCGATTTCCTGTGGCTCGCATTTGGCAGTCGCATCATGATGTGCGTCTTTTTCCCGCAGATACAAAGCTGCTGTGGCAGCCCCCGTGAGCTCAGTCGTCACACTTGAATGTTTGGGGCTTTCCAGGCGTTCCTCCTTCACTTTAGGATGTGGCAGTTCTAAAGTGGGGAATGTCTTTTGGTTCGCATGGATCGGTAACGTGTTCATGCTGCATGCTCACCTTTGATGCTTCGACCGCCACATCCAAAAAGTGAAGGAGTGTTTCGTCCGATGGTCCTTTGTGCAGTGGAGTGCATAGATCCGATTCGCGTGAGATATCTTCTGCATTCATCTTGATGTTGTAGATGTTCGGATTTGGCGAATGCGGGTGTGCATTGTGAAAGATTTCCTTTGCTGTACTTTGGGCGATGGCTGATAGTAAAATATAAACGTATCTTGTGTTTACTCAAGGATGTTTTTATTTTACTTCAACTGAGCTGTCACCTTGCTTGCGTATCAGCCATCGGCCCAAAGTGAGAGACTCATGTCTGGACACATGACATGCTTCGCATGCGTGAGCAATTTTTGTGATCCCACCCTCCCGCCCTTGGATTGTCTCTGGGGGTGGTGTGCTCTTTTGTTTTCCCTCGGGATTCGAGCCGGTTGCAGCAGGCTTTTGCTCGCATGGAGATGAAATCTCCCACACTTTCGATAATGGCATGTCTTGTGCCATTTGTCACTTCCAATGTGGTGTCCCACTTTTTCGAGCGCCTGAATCTTGCGCCCAAATTTCTCTGGCACGTCGGCAAGCCGTGGTGCCACTCTGTATAGCCCTCCTTGGGGGGGGAATGTCTTTTGGTTCGCATGGATCGGTAACGTGTTCATGCTGCATGCTCACCTTTGATGCTTCGACCGCCACATCCAAAAAGTGAAGGAGTGTTTCGTCCGATGGTCCTTTGTGCAGTGGAGTGCATAGATCCGATTCGCGTGAGATATCTTCTGCATTCATCTTGATGTTGTAGATGTTCGGATTTGGCGAATGCGGGTGTGCATTGTGAAAGATTTCCTTTGCTGTACTTTGGGCGATGGCTGATAGTAAAATATAAACAGTGGGATCTGTTGACTTCAAGAGAGCGATGATGCATTGTATGCGCCTGGGCAATCAGAGAAGTTGACAGTGATGCTTGCAGACAAGTTACGGGATATCAGCCAGCTGAGAGTTTATGCCAAAGATCCAAGTTCAAGCATAGCTTGGCACAATGCTTTCTCTTAAGTCTTAAAGTTGCCGATGCCACAGTTGAGTTGGTGGCTGGTAGAGTGGAAAGTTAGAATATGAATGCACAGAAGAAGAATTGGCTTAAAGACATTATTGACACTAGCTGGTGGTATGACGATTGGCAGAGTGCTTTTGTATTTACATAATGTCGGCAGTTTGAATTGTCAATCTTCCAATGTCCATGTTTTTGTTGTTTTTCTTTGGCTGCAACAGTTTTGTCAAATGCTGGAAGCTTGGTCAATTGGGAATGCAAATGCAAGTGACTTCCAACGGATTGTAGAGAGATTCGAATGTGTGCAACAGGATGCTTCTTGAAGACCAACATGCCACCTTGAGGTCTTGCGAAAAAATTTATTACACTCAGTAAATGTGGCTCGTGACCTTGAGGTCGAGCACACTTCCACTGATCTGTTACGGTTTCGATAATCCCAAACAGCTTCGAGGTTTTGACTCACCTTGGCAATCTCTTGCACCGGTTGCACCAGCTTCTTAAAGCTACTTTGGTATATCATTGCATCCACTGGGCAGCCCGGCTCAGAAGCATGTCAGACAAGAATTGCCCATTTTGGAAAAGCGTATTGTTAAAAGCCAAGAATTTCATTAATAACACCTAAGATTTCTTTGTTGGTTGCAATGGCACAATCCAGAAAGATCAAACTGCAATCACTGACTGTCGGTTCTGAGCAATACTTGCTCCATGCGACTGCGAACCACAAATGAAACATTCTGTTCCTGTCGGGTCCTTTGACAATCTTTCCTCCTTTTCCTTTTCTTTTCCTTTTTAGAACCTTTGCTAAACCCTTTCTTTCCTTTCCCTTTAACCTCCAATTGGCTCCGCAAGGTCCAAAACGTGCTGAAACCCAGGTTGAGAGAAGGTTCAGGGTTGATGGAGGTTCAGTTAGAAGTGGGAGTTTCTGTGTCGCAAGTTTGGAAGGTGGGATTTAAGAATTATTCTGGCAGTAGACAACAACAACGTCCAGCCTCTTGCCTTAGAGTCTTTGCATTTGCATGTGTCTGCGAGGCCTCGAACACAATTCCATGCTGGCTAGCCACTGTGAGAAAGATGTCCACAGGCTATTGTTAAGAATGATTTTTTGAGTTCGTTCCGTGCATGATAAAATGCATTTATTGCCATGCGTGTGTCAATTATCTTCTTTTTGTTATTATTGTTATTATTGCTGCTATGACGATTTTTATTACTACAATTATTCATCTTATTGTTGCGATTACTATTTCAATTATAATTACCATAACTATTACTATTACGCGTATTGTTGTTGTTATTATTATTATTAATATTGCTATTGCTAATACTATTTTTTTTAGTATTACTATTATTTCTATGATTACTACTTTTATTATTATTATTATTGCTGTTAGTATTAATATTGTTATTATTATTGTTACTATTATCATTAATGTTATTATTACTATTACTATTATTATTATTATCAATGATTCGAGTACTTTTTTTGCTTAATTAATTACTATTATATTATTAATTATCATTACTATTCCATTATTATTAATTATTTGAATTCTATTACTTATATTACTAGACTATTTCTATTAGTATTATTATATTACTATTCTATTCTATTACTCTTACTATTATATTGTTATTTTATTATTTTTATCCTTACTATACGATTACTACATTATGATTTAACTATTACCATCACTATTACTATTATTATTTTTACTTTTACTATTACTTTGACATTACTATTAATATGACCACTAGTATTATTATTATTGAGATCATTGTTACTCTTTACGATTACTAGTACGATTACGTTTACGATTATCATTATGATTATTATTAAGTATTATTATTAATGCTATTCTTACATGTTCTAAAATATATTTAGTTTACGATTACAATTACCATTACATTATTATTATTACTATTATTTTTATATTATATTACTATTACTAGTATTTTTTCATTATTATTTACTATTACATTACTATTACTATTAGTATTAGCAGTACTATGACGTCTGTTATTACTATTAACTATTACTCTTACTATTACTATCTTACTATTACTATTATTTTTTACGAATTATTATGATTCTTTATTTATATTACTATTGCTATTACGAATTATTTTTTAATTATTACTATTGCTATTACTATTATTACTATTATTATTATTACGTGTCGCGTCCGCCCCGTAGTGATTCATATGACTATAGTCGATACTATGACTATTATTATTACTTACTATTATTAATAGTATTATTGCTTTTATGACTATTACTATTACCTATCTCTAGTACGATTTAGTATAGTATTATACTATTATTATTAATATTATTATTATTATTATATTCTTGCGAATTAGTACTATGACTAGTACTATTTATTGTATTACTATTACATTTACTAGTTATTTATAACAATTATTATTTCTAGATTAATTTTACTATTACTATTACTATTACTTGTTACTATTATTATTACAGCTATTACTATTACTATTACAATTACTATTACTATTACTATTACTATTACTATTACTATTACTATTACTATTACTATTATTATTACTATTATTATTACTATTATTATTATTATTATTATGATCATTATTATAATTATTACTATGACTATTACCATTATTTATTATTATTACTATTACTATTACTATTATTATTATTATGATTATGACAATTATTATTTCTATTACGATTAGTATTACTATTGCGATTACGATGACTATGTCATTATAATTTCCTTGTTTCCGAGGCGATGATATAATGTCAAGCGAACAGTGGTGAATCAGTCTTAAAAACGCGAACATGGGGACACAAGATCTTTCCGCAAAGCGTGGTTGCCGTGGCTACGTTTCCATCCCGTCCGTGCCTCCATGCTTGGGGCTTCTTCGGGTTTCTTTCGCCGACCGAGCCACCTTAGATTAAGACACAAAGGACATCCAAAGCCCAAAGCTTCCCACTTCCCGGCCAGCATCCATCCATGATGGCCCTGCGGAAGGAGAACAACAACTACTTAGAACCCAGATTCGGAATCCAGGTTCCAACCCAGGTTCGAACCCAGGTTCAACCCAAACCCAAAGCACAGGCACATCTTTTGCAGCGAAGATGACAGAGGTTGAAAACGTATGAAGCAAGAGCAGCGTTTGAAACAGTGAGTGAACAAAATACAAGTTTGAAACTGGCTAAACAAACAAACAGAAATTGCTGCAAACTGGCCAGGAAAGCCGAAGTGGCAGTTTCATCCATTTGATTTTTTGCTGCAAAGCAGAATGTAGCAGCCCTGTCACTGTCTGTGTGTGTGTGTGCGCCATGTGTGTGCAGCTCGATAGTCGAAGATGTAGTTGTGCCATGCCATGTAAAGGTTGCATTTCTGTGCTTGGTGTCAAGCATTTTTTCTGGAGATGCTTGAGATCGTGAAGACCGGGCCCGGTTGAAGTCGCATGTCAGGCTCAAACGAAGCGACGTTGCATGTTCAGCCAAATTTGAAGCACAGTTCAGCTGCCATAATGTGCCATACTGCACGTTCGAGCTGATTTAGATGCTTCTCACTCCCCCGCATTGTCTTTCCAAGCACCCATGGCAGATGAGCCCCTACCATCCCACACTCCCGAGAAATTGCCACCAGCCGTTGCCGCGAGCGCTGCGAGCATTATGGGCAAGGCAGCCTCGGACTCCTCTGATGAGGCGTCGGCAGTTCGAAGCACGAGTTGCTTAAATAATCCGAGACTGGCTTGAAGCTGGGCTACGCTGAGATCGCTTAAGTTTTGCATGGATAACACTGATAGACTCGTGGGGGCTGGAAAAAGTCCCGTCGTCCTTTTGCTCTTAATGAATGCCGTGCTCTGGGCACCCGTAGCGCCCCACAGGGATTTACAACTTGTTATGCTCACGTGTCGGACAGAGAAATTGTTGTAAATGCTTTCTACTGACAGGTCATAGACCTTGGCAAAGTGCCGAAAGATTGTAACCCATGTCATTGCAGGACGTTTGGACTCCTTTACCATGGAATTGAAGAGAAGCATACATATATGCATGAAGCAATACATTGGCAGACAAGGAATTTGTTTCAGAATCTTCGTGGTTCCGGGATCGATGTCGACTTCATGCCCTGCGTGGACTGTGCAATCTTGGCAACGGAAAAGACGGCAGTTCCTTCGCCGCGGCTTCGCTCTCTTTGGGTCCAAACGTGCTTGGAGAACGCGTCGGCATAACACGAATTTAAGCATTGGCAGGACAGCGATTCAAGCTCCGTCCGGGAGGTAAAGAAAAAGAAGAAGGACCTTCGTCTTCGTTGCTGTCTCAGTTTATAGCAATGTCCAGCAGTCTGCATGTGGGAGTCATGGCGGGACAGGACAAGAAGAAGAAGGACAAGAAGGCCACTCGGGCAAAGGGGAATCTTGAGCATCTTGAGGTTGATGCTCAGATGAAAGTTGTATCATGCTCCTGTGCAATACGCCTGCGTAGCCAGACACGCTGCCCTGGAACGCTTGCGAGCCGAGTATGCATCTCTTCAGGAGAAGAAGAAGGCTTCCCTGAAGCAGCTGTGTCTTGCACTTGATTTGGAGATGATGTGTGCTTTCCACAGGCCAAGAAAGAGAAGAAGGCCAAAAAGAGCAAGAAGGCTTCATCGGAGATTGGCCTGGGCTCTCGTTTCTTGAGGGTCAGTGCTCCAGGCCAAGAAAAGGAAACGAAGCCCGAGCTACAGCGAGTACAGCCCATCCAGCTTGGTTTTCACGTGACGATTCTTGGCGAAGTGCCTTGCGTCTTGCATGCGCCCAGATGTGGCACAGGCGATAGCCGGGACAGTCGCGATGACTCCCGCAGTCGCAGCCGCAGCTCGTGACTGAGTGTGCATCGCGGCACAGAATTTGAAAGAATGTGAAAGGATGTGAAAGAATATGAAAGAATGTGAAAAAGCATCCGGAGCTTCCGCAGGCCGTGGTCGGGGCCGGTCTCCACCACGACGGTCCCCGCCGAGGCTTCAGCAGAGTCTGTCATGACCGTTGTGAGTCGAGTCGTCGAAGGATGTGACAATACTCTCCGTGGCAGTGGTAGTAACTGGTAGCAGTGTCAATGACCGCAGTGGAATAGAAACCTGAAGGTATGCGGCCCCAGGTGGTGGCGGCGGGTACGGAAACTACAGTGGGGGGCGCGGCGGCTACAATGGGCGCAGCTGGCATGTGTCGGTCGTATCGGGATATTCTTGCTGTCGTGTCAGAGTCCAGCAGCAATGCAGGGGCGCGAGGCCTGCCCGCAGCCGCAGCAGGACAGCTTCATGTTAATCATAATCTACTCCAACGGATGCTGTGCGTTCTCAAGCCAAAACCTTCTCTTGCGTGCAGGAGTCCTGCCTGGGCTGTGCCAGTCAGGAGCTCAGAGTCCCAGCTTGAACTCTCAACATGCGGAGTGGAACCTGGCACGTAGATGTTCCTGAATGCTGAAGTTCACTCAAGGCCCCTCGTTCACCAATGAAGCTTCCGGAAGGCACGGTACGGTAAGGCATAAAAGCAGCTGAAGGAACCGCATGGAACCGCATGGAGCCGCATGGAACCGCCATGCATTGCCTCACTTTGTGCAAGGCCGGCCCCTGACCTTGGCAGAGGCCTGCGAGGCGGGGAGACTTGCGGCCCATGTGTAGAAGCTGAGATAGTGGAGGGGGTCAAAAGCCCCACGAACGAGGCAGCTGGTCGCGGCGTGACGACCGGCCAGACAGCTCAAGATGATGAAGTGCAAGTTCTAGATCCAGACGAGGACAAGCTTCTGAGGGGCAGGGAGGGTGTACAAGTGCAAAAGTCGATGATGTTGCAGAAGAGCCTGCCTGCGAGTCCGTGCCAGGCTCCTGTCAAAGCTGAGAAGCGGGAGCCTAAGCTTTCTCAGAGACTTCGCATATCGTGGAATGTGGAGACAGGTTCTCGTCCTTCGATGATGCAGACGAGTTTCCGAGAGAAATCCGGGAAGAACTCAAGCCATGCTGGGCATGCTTGAGCCACACTCCACGACGCTTTGGACGACTTGATTCGGTTTGCATCTGGATGCCCAAGCATGGCAGGAGTGCCGGCTTTCCTGCACCATCACAGATTCAGGCTGGCAGTCACAGTGCGGGGAGTCGGGAATCTTGCCTAGCTGTCGATAAACCACTGCTGGTCCCAGTTCCAACCCTCTCTCCATGCGAGCTTTCCATACAAAGCCTGGCATTCTTATTGATGCGGACATTGTGTGGCTGATGGTGAGTTGTTCTATAATGCTGTGGAAGGGGTCTTCGGACAAGCGTGAATGCAGAAACACCCGGGCACACAGGGCAGGCATCTCTCATGCTCGGTTCCAAACGGCCACGAGTCTTTAGAAACCTCAGGGTTACCGTGCTTTTGCAAGAAGATCCCTTCAAGAGGGCTCAGCTCCCGAAGCCCTGAAGATCCCTCGGAGGTTCTAGGCCCCCTTGCCTGCCAAAGAGGATGCTTCCATGACTCCACCAAACCAGACGAGCTCACCTGACTGTTCTGAGCAGACCGAGGATTCAAACAGCAATTGACGAGTTCAAATTATTTCCGCCCCGAGCACCTGCATGTTTTGCATGGTAAATCTTGCAGTTTCATCTTTGCGTTGTCTTCCGACTTTCGCCAGTAAAAATCTGATCAGTGCTTGCGAGTCTTTCTCGCTTTGAGCCAAACGTGGACTTGACAGAGCTTTACGTTTGCTGGTGAGATGATGAGTGGTCGGGCAAGTCGGGCAAGTCGAGTGGGATGGTTGTAAGATCTTGGTCTGGTCTTCACACCTAGGCGAGTCCGCGGCATGATGTAGCAGGATGTGGCCAATCGATTAGGTCATGTTTGCACCCCCTGTGCCGTGAGGCGTACACCTGGCCGCTTGGTTTGCGAGGCAAGGACATCATCGGCCGGGCGCCATATCGCGCACAGCATGCATTTAGCCGCATTCTTTCCAATTCGGGTAAGGTATTGCCGCAACAGGCAGTGGAAAGACTTTGGCACAGCACTCGGAAGTTTTGAAGCACCCTCCGGACATCACTGCAGGGAAAGGCCCCAGACATCCCCTACACCTGTGACAAGTGTGTATGGTCAGGCATTCCTGCTGCCGGCTTTCGCTCAGATGATGGAAGAGGCTGTCTTAATGGCCGCAAGTCTTAGTTTGAATTCAGAATGTTGTCTCTACAGCTGGTTGAAATCATAAACAAGTTTTGCCACAGAACCACCGTCCGGAGCGAGATGGTGCTGGCGCTCTTGTGATGTCGCCAACGATCGGCACCCAGAAATCAGATTTGCAAGGTAGGGGGTCAAGTTTCAGGACCGAACCATGTGGCTTAGTAAGTTTTGCAAAACAGGCTGGCATAGAGACCGGGGACACCGCAGACAGAGTAATTTGCGAATCGCCTTCTGGCAAAAGCCGTGACCGCGACTTAAGGCGAGAGCTGGCGCAGCAGACAGAAGCCGAGGCAGCGGAGCTTTGCGCCAAGCCCTCACTGGGCACATGACCTGCATGTTGTGCTCGCACCAGGCCCAGCGGTTTGGGAAGTGCCTGGGCTTCCGGTGTGTCGCCATGTGACCTGCGATGCCGAAGATCCAGCTCAGAAAGGGATTCTGCACAATTCACAGCCTAAGCAGCTACAAGAAGCGCCGTGCCATTCTCAATACTTCAGTGTCCATGGTCGGCCTCACAGCCTTTGCTCTGTGAACTCTTGTTGTTATTTTCTTAGTTGGACGTCCACAGCTGCATTGAAAGCTGTGGAACCAGTTGGATTTCGCAGCTTTGCCACTTTTGGACGTGGTTGGCATGTTGTTCTTGCTTGTTCTGCGACACGACTCACAGCAATTCTTCGCAAGGGATGAACCGCACGGGGTACTGTAGGAGCTGGGAATACCATGCGGCCTGTGAATTCACCTTCAGGTACGGTGGCGCGCCGAAGGGCGACCAAATGGCCAGATATCGGCAGGGCTGCCAGCGAAAACCTCAGAGAGTTTCACAAGTTCCTCATGATTAGCGACGGGACCTGGTTGAACAAAGCTCTCATGTCAAAAAAATTGACTTCTTCAAGGATGCAAAAAACCCTCAAGAGCACCGAACCTTTGCCTGTGCACGGAGGGGGGGGGGGCTCGCGGATTGGAAGATGACGATGGTGGTAGCCCCGAGGGCCAGAAGAGCTGAATCTCCTTTAAGTCAAGCGGATGTCGCAGAAATATGACAGAGTCAACAATGATGGAGGCAGTGGCCAGACGGATGTTGCCTAAAACTATTCCAAAGGTGCCTGCCCTGTGCACACGGCAAATCGGACACCTACCTTTTCCCTCCCTGGGAGAGTCTCGAAACCAAATAAAGGAACCAATTTTTGAAGAATCGGATATTGGAACTTTGCATACAGTAGCTGGCAGAATCCCAATATGGAGCAAACCCCTACAGACAGAAACGCTTGACCAGAGCGATCGGGGAGCTAACGCGGCAGAAGAGTTCTTGTGGGGACGAGGGTTTTCAACCCTGCCCAAGAGCGGCCATGACGATGCTAGCCATCTTCCCTTCTCGCTTGTTGCAATGTTGCTTGTTTTCACAACGACATGGCTTTGGAGTTGCTTCCTCTCTCGCTCTCTCTTTCTTCTTCTCCTCTTTTTCCCTTCTCTCCCTCCCGGCACGCAACACTTTGAATGTTGCTGCTGTGGGAGTGTGGTCAGCTGGAGATGCCAGGTCAAGACATACTGTGCACATGACTTTGCGTTGCGAATTTCTGAAGCGGACACACATCCGTCACATCCGCTGACTCTCCTGCAAGCTCCCTGAACAACAAAGTGCATTCAACGAATCTGTCTCAGATGTCTTAGAATGCTCTCCTGCGAGGGCAGGAGGGTAAAGAAACAGTTGGCAAAGACAAGCTTCAGAGCGCCAGGGAGCAGATTTCGCAAGATGTTTCTTTTTCTCAACATCTTTGTATTCTGTTTTTCGAGTTCTGCTGCTTGCTCCCTCCGTGCAGTACTATCGTGGCCTGCCCTGGGCGCCTCAACGACTTCTTAGAGGGCGGACAGGCTGGGGCCTAAGATGTGCCAAGGCTTTCGCTTTCTCTCCTTCAGTCTTCCAATCCCAGTGTGCTGTTGTGTAGGTCCGCTTGGATGGAGTCTTGAAGCTTGTGCTGGATGAGGCGATTGCAAAGTCTTGCAAGAACCGTGCACTTGATGGAAGTCAGGGTGGCAAGATGTAGGAAGAGGTTATACTGCGTCAGCAAATGCCGCCCACTAGGTTGGCGTAAGATCCATAACAAGAGAGAAGAGAGAGATGCACCGAAATCAAGCATCCCTTTGTTGCAGGTGGCTTGCTTGTTGGATCTTGGACATGGCTTGTTGCGCAGGCTGATCGCATGCTGGACATGGGCTTTGAGCCGCAGATCCGCAAGATCTTGGCCAGGGTGCATCAACTCAGATTCCGATCCCGGTAGCTGGCTTCGCAAGCCCGGACTTTCTGATAAACGCATGAGCTTGGGACCTTCTGACTTCTGACAGCTTCCGCGCAAGCGGCACACGCTCTTCTTCACGGCAACCTGGCCGAAAGAAGTCCGGGTCTTAGGGCTGACCGGCTGCCCCTGAATGTGAATGCATGGTCCCAATCACCACAGTGCCGGCTACTTGAGAAGTTACAGGTCAGGAAGCTGGCAAGTGAGATCCTGAACAGGCAGGTGTTTGTGCTCTTGTTTCCTGACGTCGGCTTTTTGCTACCGAGAGAATAGATGGCAGGCCTTACAAGGTCATGATTGGAAACCGGGAAGTCTTGAAGGGCAACCAGGCCCTTGTCCAAGTGTTGTGTGCCAGCCCTACTTCCCGCATCCGACCTGTCTTAGGACATCACCCAGATCGTGAAGTGCATGGATGCCTTCAACAAGAATCGAGAGATCGTGAACACCCTCCGCGAGGTTCCGCCCCACGAGGGGCCAAAGTATCAATTACAGCCACGCCGCAGTCAAGTTGGTCAAGACGGCGGAAGAGCTCCTCTGCCTTGCTGTTGATTTGAGAGTGTCATGCTAGTGCAGCTGCAGGCTGGCTTGACAAATCCCAGTGCGAGTGGGAAGGCCAGGTGCGGATGTTCTTGCAGGGTCTTTCCGGGATGCATTGTAGTTTCTCGACTTGTAGGGCTGTTGAAGCCTGCCACGGCCGTGTGAATCCTCAGCTGAGGTGCCTTAGCCGGTTGTTGTCAGTTGTGCAAGGAGGCGCAGTAAAGAGCCAGTTCGGCAAAACGATTTCTAGGTTGAAAATCCAGTCATGTGCCCATATTGTACCGTGCAGAAAACTCGAGAATCGTGCAAGAGGGCTTACGGGCTGGACGTCGAGTTGGTAAACACTGGGTGAAGTTCCCCCAAGCAGTTCCCCCAAGCCCATTGCTGATTCTTGCGAGGCCCTTGTCTTTTGCAACACGAAGCGGATGTGCGAAAACCTCTCCAACGACCTGCACCGCCAAGGCGGCCTGTTGAATCCAGTATTGAGAAGAAGCCAGCTGCGTCCGAATGCATGCCTTCATGAAGATCTGTTGCGTTAGCTTGAGCACGTGGAATCTCGTCTTGGAAATCTCTGCCGGGCGAATGTTAGCCGTGAGGCCTGCCGTGTACTTCCATCCATGGAGATAAGGACGACGTTGATTTGCCCTGGCTGCCTTGGTAGCCCAGTGGTACCCTTTACCCTTTTTTTGGTTCTGGTTTCCCTTATAAAGTAACAAACCCCAAAAAGGGTGCCCTCATTGTAATATGGTCACTGGGCTGCGGAGCTGCTTTCCAGCCTAGCATCGACAAGTTCGGGCATCGACAAGTTTGGGCGCAATGGTTCACAGGACCAGCGCCAGCGCGAAGATGCCCTGCATGGCCTGAAATCAGGCCGGTACAAAGCCCCGGGCTCATGAATGATCCTGATACTCCAGCTATTGTTCCTCCATGGTTGCAACGCAGTGGCTTCCACATGCCGAGTTAGCACTGCAGCTTTGTAAATGGCCGGCCTCCGCATTGTGTGGGAGCAAGGTCTTAGTTGCAACGGACGTGGCAGCACGCGGTCTGGACATCAAGGGAGTTGTGCGGACCTCATCTTATGCTGGAGCTTGACTTGTGGCTTTCTCGTGGCTTTCTCGTGGCTTGGTTGTGTCCGTTGTGGTCTGTTGTGGTCCGTTGTGGTCCGTTGTGGTCCGTTGTGGTCCGTTGTCTCTTTGTCTTTGCCCTCTCGGCCTCCTGTCGGCCTCTGATCTGATCTGTGCAGCGAAGGGGATGGTCATCAACTTTGACCCGGCAAACAACACGGAGGAGCGGTGACATGTGTGATGATGGTAAACCGTAGGGTATGTGCATGGTAACTCTGTAGCCAGCAGTTTCTTTGGTTGTTGGCTGTATGCGATGGACAGGACTATGTTCACCGCATTGGGCGCACTGGCCGTGCTGGAGCGCCGGAAGCCCAGTGCAGCACGCTTGGGCCGACGTCCCTCCCTTGCAGCTCAAAATCGGTCTCCCAGGAAAGGCTATGCCATCACCTTCATGACCGGCCGCTTCCTTAGCCCCTCTGTTTACAGGCAGGAAGCAGCTCGGTTTGTGCAACGACTCGGCACCCTCTTCCACGTTGGGGTTAGAGGCCTTTAAGCTTGCCGGTCCGCATGCGCACGGCAGTTGTACCAAAGAGCCCAGAATCTGTCGAAGTCTCAAGCGCTGTATGCGCTGTGGGAGTTTTCCAAGGTCAGGATGCATCCAAAGCCCGTGGAATCATGGAGGTCATGCAGCGGACGAATCAGGACCTCACCTGTGTCGGGATCAGGGTCAGTCGGATTGCACGGCGAGCTTCCCTCCTAGATTGAAGGATGCTGCACGTCTTGGCTAGTTCATGAGAAGCAAGCATTCCAAGCTGGTGGCCATGGAGAGCCATGCAGAAATCAATGCTTGACAATCACGCACGAGAACCTTATCGGGAATAGGAGATCAGCCCGGACCTGATGAAGATGGCGGGCCAGGGGCTGAGGGTTACATGCTGCGGCATGAGCTGTCGTTGCCGTGCGCTTTGCGCACACTTGCCAGGCTGCCACGAAGCGAATGAACTGTCAACTCAGCAGGTACATTCTGGCAAAATCTTGGCTGCCCACTGTGAACACGAACTGGAGTTAGATATTCGGATTGGGCTGAGAAACCAAGTCCACGGCGAACTCAGCCACCAAGTGGACCTCAAAGCTGTGCTCGTGGAACACCCATGTGCTTGAGGTTCGGCTCCACCGCCAGGAGGCCGAGTTGGTAAAGCTGGGAGGTTGCTTGGGCGAAGTCCGGTTCACAGCTTCGAGTTCAGACATGGGCAGCTCAGCGAAGCAGCCACCAAGCGCATGCGACAGACAGGCAGGCAGGCAGGCATGCAGCGACACACACACACACACACACACACACACACACACACGTGCACACGGAGCTTTGAAGCGCTTCGGCCCCCCTCCGCCCCTCACCCCCCGACGATGCGTTTGAAGAGCAGGTAACCGCATGCGTGGCGCCCGAGGAGCGGGGTATCTGATGCTTACTGTACAACAATCTTATAAACACAAATATTCATATATATATATATGACACCACATGATCTTGTACTATACCTTACGAACTGTATTTCACTATCATGATAGTCTGTTGTACTGCCTCATTTGTTTGTAATGTCGGAGCTCGGGCCAAGCTTTGCGGACAAGCTGGAAGGAGGTGGAGGCCGAGGAGGGAGGCGGAGCCCAAGCTTCTAAGTGAGTCCAAGGATCGCTTGCGCTTGCATCGATGGAGCTTGAAAAATGGGAGCTGGTATGGGCGGTCAAAGCTGGAGACTGACTTGTACAAGGACATTTGGCGGTTTGTGAAGTCGTCAGCCTTCGCTATACAATGCAAGCATGAAGGCCTTGAGGAGATGCTTGCGGTCTGCTTGCCACATCTCTGGTGCCCGGGCTGGCTGTTGGCTTCTTTGCGGAGAAAGGCTCTTCTTCCGAACTTGCCATATGAAAGAGAACGAGTGAATGGCAAAAGTTGGCTTCGTGCTTGGCACGCGATTTTTCTTGGGTAAAAACTCTCCCTAGAGTTCCAGCAGCTCACAGGAGGACCACGCAACTCTCGTGGGAGGAAAGAGATAGAGCCCTGCTCTGCGGGTTCCATTGACGGCTCCACACCTGTGAGGTTGTTAGTTTTGCAGCGCTAATGTTTAGAGTAGAGGGACCAAAGTGCATTAAACAGTTGATTGAGAGATGGCTTGGGTTGACAAATCAAAAAATGAAGAGCAAAAGGGGAAAGCGCAGAAATCGCTCGCCAAACAGCTCCAGAAAGAGTGGCTGAGGCTGGAGTATCTTTATGTAGCTTTGCATAACACAGAGTGTGAAGGGGGATTCTAAGTGCCGAGGAAGACTTGTCATGTGCTCTACGAGGATCTTACGATGTTTATGGGGAGGCCCAAGTCTCCCCGTATCTATCGCATTCCTTTTTGTTTTGTTCCTCCCACCCTACCCTGAGCGTGTTCGGGTTCTCGGGTCATTGGCTTCAAAAACCGTCTTCGTGAAGGGGGGTATGTCGTGGGCTGCTGGGTCTCCCCATGTCCCATCGTCTGTTGACGTTGGGGCCAGGGCTGCATCAAATTCCTCTCTACATTAATCGGTCAGTTCAGTCTCACGCTGCATCACCAAGAAGAGATCTTGAGGACATCTTAAGCGGCCATTCCGCTTCGTTTGTTGCGTTGGCATGCATGATTTCGGCCCAAGCATTCGGCTCAACTCTGGTGCATCCTGCTTCGGATGACCATCGGTACCCTGCTGCAGTTAGGTTATTGTTCATCTGATCATCATTGAGCACGTGCTCTGCCTCTTGTGTATTGGGCGTGCAGATGTGTGTGTGGCTCAATTTCATCATCAGGCTGGCTCAGCCCGTGCATGTGGTCATGAAGATTTACTTGAGACCGCATGCGGCTTGGAGTGGCTAGTGCTGTACATCTGGCGAGTCCCATGCTCTTTGTCGATGTCGTCTCAGTTGTTTACAAAGATGGCCCAGGCCCGAATCCAAATCCCGAAAGGACTGCCTGGCCTTCCATGCCACAACGCAGCCGACTATTGCTAATGGCCTGGCTTCACATCGCATGTCAGGAGGACGTGGAAGTTGACTTGAACCCAGATGAGCTGATAGAAAGCCTCCGCAAGAAGGTTCAGGCAAGCCCGTCCCTGCAGATCGGGTCTCTGCATGCCAGGCTTCTGCCCTTGTCTGTTGCCAGGAGAAGACCGGTCTTGACTGCTACAAGACCCAACCTTAGAAGCGCGTCGAATGGAATGAGACCTCCATGACGGCTACAGAGCTGTTGGCTGATGTTGGTTGATGTTGGGATGGAATGCCTGCTTCGCAATGCCAAGCATACAGTAGGAGTCCTGCATGACATCAGGACGCTTCAAGCATCTTCACTGACACAGACGTTGTTTTTTCTCTTTCAGGTTGAAATATCAGGGTAAAACCCTCAAAGACGATGAGACGCTGCGTCAGCACAAGGTGGAGGAAGGCAGCTTGCGCATGTTCTCTCCGAACCCAGCGGAACATTGCGGCACATTGCGGGCTTTTCCACGATGGAGGTGTCACAATCATGACAGAGCCCGAGTTCCACGGCCAGTACCTGCCCATGGGAGCCCGGCTCTTAAAAGCACCGGGAGCCTTAGGCGTTCGTAGATTCGTAGTTTCCCACAAGCCCCTTGTAGGTTCAACCTTCGATGGAGAAGAGGAAAGCCGAAGAGGACCGGGACCCAACGGAGCAAGGTCTAGCGGTTAGAGGGTGTCTTTCCGAGTCTCCATTTGACTTCACAAGGAGTTGGACAAGGTTGTCGAGCTGGCACCGGAGGCAGATCCTCACAAGTTGTTGTGGGGTTTGCACATCACGGTATGTCCTGCCTGAGTAGATAACGGGAGACTTGAAGGTCAAGAAAGCAGCCACCGTCGCAGCGGCAGAGAACATCACCCAAGCCGAGGCATTCGTCCCAATAGTTTTTTCCCAACGTACTTGTGGCTACATTTCGCATTGAGGTAGCTTGGTGCGGCATTCGTGCCGGTGCATATGGCGAGAAAGGGATGCGAAGACAGATGGAGGATGAGACAGTGATCTGCGCATCGCTCTGCGATCTGTCCAGCGCTCAGCTGGGGTTGAAGACGGGTATGAGCCGGCAAACTTTCTCTTCCCGAGCCCAGGGTGCCTCAGCTCTCCGCGGAGCGGAACTTCGCGCTGTTTGGGATATTCGATGGCCACGGCGGCAAGCAGGCAGACACTTGGTGACATTGCATCCTGATCCGAGTATATCTGTCGGTTCTTTCAAGTCAGATTCGTGTCACCCATCAATTCCTCCCAACAAGTTCCCTCCAAATGCAGATTCTTGGCAGGTGGCAGAATTTGTTCGGACTTATCTAGCTCCAGAGCCGTGCTCTAAGTTGTTGCCATGCAGGCGGATTGTGTGCTGTACTCGGTTGGTGAGATACCTCTGCCCAGAGGTTGGCCAGCGCGTATGCCAATGACGAGCCCAAGCAGGGTTGTTTCCCAGTGAAGAGTCTTTCACGAGGGTTCGGTGGTGAGTTCTGAGATTTTCTGCTCATCTTCTCGGCATGTTCTGAGCCCCAGGTCCGATTTCGGACAAGAGGCTCATGAAGGTCACGGAGGCTTGAGTTGCCCGTGCTACTTTCTGCACTCCATTTGCACGCCTGGGGGCTGGGACAGAAAGATCGCAGGCTGTGTTTCAGCGCATGGACGCGCGGATCGCGACAGAGCTAGCAGGCATGGGCTTTTTGTCCACGAACATAGGGGACCCCTAATGTACATCCCCAAATAGTCGATTTTTCCCTTGTAGTAAGGACCCCAAGAAGGTACCCCTAACTTTGCAAACCCCCACGTAGAGAACTGCTCCGATAAAGCACGGCTGCACGGCCTCGAAGATTTGGAGAGGTGCCTATGATGGATGCACAGCAAATGTGGCTTTGGCCCCAGGGAGACAAATTGTTGGAGTGCCGTGACCTTCGGCTGTTCGACTGCAGGTTTTAGCTAATGCGGACAAGATGATTTCTATCAATCTTGGTGATAGCACCTTGGCACTTTGGGAAGGAACCAGGTAGGCCCAGGCTTTGATCCTTAAATAAGGGGATAAGACAGAAGCGTGTTTTGCATCAGGTATGGCTTATTTGTGCCGTCGGAAGGATGTTGATGACCAGGAGGACTCACGTTTATGAACCGGGGGGAGAGTCTGCCTCATCCCTGTGACCTGCAGGACACGCTCTGCATCCCCCTACAGCAGCGGCAGCACAAGTGCCGGAGTAGTACTTGAGACCCATGTTGAAGTTGCTGCGATGAATCATTGCATTGCAGAGGCATGAGGTAGATACCAGCGTGCTGCAGCTTGACATGTGAGACAAGAGGTGCTGGATGATGAAGGAGAAAGAGCGCATCCTGAGGTTCACAACACCCCTTCACCCTCCAACATCTTTTAAAAGTATCTGCAGATAAAGTGGGTTGCCCTTCGCTGTGCCTCTGGGCTTGTGCTTGGAGGTCCGGCGGGGCTGTGGAGAACGGCCGCATCAATGGCATCCTGGAGGCCGAAGCCTCAGCTCGCAAAAGGATTTGCAGAGAGAAGCCTGTGGGGTTTCATGTGGATGAGATGCATGTTTTGCAAGATTCTTCCAGGGTTTGCTGCCGTGTTTTGTGTCCAACTTCTCACAAGGTCTCCCGTGCCTTTGGCGATTTGACGCTGAAGAAGTTTGGAGTGCTGTGCACGTTGGGGGCCTCATGGAATGCCACTTTCAGCGCTTTTTTTGCTTCACTGCGATGAGACTCTCTTTTTTTAGCCCCAACGTGTATCGAGAACAACTTTCAAGGCCTGAGTACATGAAGTTCCAGATGGACAGGGAGAAGGACCGAGTTTTGGCATGCCTCGGTGGTCCGCAGTTTCTGCACTTTCTTGCCTGTCCTACCTGCGACACCTTTGGCCTGAGCGATTCCGGTGTGTCACAGGACCGCTTTGTCATTCTGGCTTGTGATGGCCTTGCTGACACGCTTGAGCACTACGATTGACTTGAACCATTGCTTGCGGGCAAGGGCATCGCTGCCAGGCTTCTGGAATGCATGGACAGCTGCTGAAGCGCTGGAGTACACGCACAGCCTTGTGACCAACGAGGAGGGTGGGCAGCCGAGTTTGGACGTGATGTGGACCTGCTGTTTGCGCAGTGCGTATCGTTGCAGTAAGGTCGTGCCGAGCTCGAAGCAGATTCCATCGATATCCGAGGTGTTTGCAAGGACCCTGTGTGACTGTCCTAGTTGCCAAGTTCCTCAGATGACTTGGCACAGGAGCTGGTGCAGCATGTTATCGAAGAGAGGAAGGCGCAGGCCACTGGTTGCACGCGGGGCTCGTCGGCCATGGTCGGGGCACGCTCTGCTTCTGTGGCTCATGGTGCAGGACAACGTGAGCGTCGTTGTCCTGCATATCATGCCGCAGGCTGCGCAGTGACCGCAGTCGGCATAGGGCGTGTCTGTGCGCGTACGTGTAAACCGAGGAAGACGGCACCATGATGTCAGCTTGTTGCTTGGTTTGTTGCCTGTCCTTCCTTCTGGCAGGCAGGCTGATCTGCTGACATCTGGCACCCTCGAAGACAAAAAAAGACACACATATGTTTGCTCGAGCGCGTGCAGTGAACTGAGAAGGTTCGTTGAATGTCCAGGCTGCAAGTCCATGAACATGCTATCAGCCACGGCCGCGACGGCATTTGGGCTCTTGAGGTTTTGCTTAGAAGACCCCTTCAGTAGGCTGTAGGGGCCATTTCTTGTGTGTGCGGTTCGTTCAGCTCCCAGACATGTTGGGCATGACAATCTGCATCGCGCCTTCGCTTTCTCGCCGCTTTGTGCTGGAAGGTGTTCACGGTGCTGTGAATATGGACCGAAAGAGACGCCGTCTTGATCGATGGCTGCTTCTTGCCCTTTGGCATTTCAATGGTGCGCGGCCCAGCGTGTCCGGTTTGCATCCCCTGCTTTCGCCCTCAGGCAGCCGCAGCTGTCAGTGCTGATGCCTTGGGTGAAATCAAACGGCAAGAGTGAACTGCGTCCTTGTGAATCTTTGCAGCCTATGCACAAGCAGTTGTGACCCAAACGTGTGGAACTGTGGCCACCTTTACTGGTCGTCAAGATTCGCCTGCGGTAAGGCATTTCCGACTTTGTCTTGCACCAGGTGGCATGTGCTTTAAGTCCGCTGCGGGCGCCAAATTTCGTGTCATGATGGACGAGCCCCGGGAATTTCCTCTCGGCGGAGGCTTACTGCGAGAGGCTTGGCCCTGGTCTCTACAGACACCGCGCAGGAGGATGGAACAGAGTGGAACAGAATAGGTCCTAAAGACTTTATAAGATGCATAAAGATGATGGACTGGGCATCCGAGCTCCTGTGGGACAACTGTGCCTTCAGGAGGCGAAGCCCACTGAGACTGGCGCATTTGCCAACCTTATGGGCCGCCGACCCGGGGAGGGTGCTCCGTGCACTTGCGCTCCCCATGTGCAGAACTAAGGCTCCATAGAAGCAAATCTCCAGCCCATCCGGGATGAAGTGGTCCGAAGCTCGTTGGATCTCATCGGCAGGGCGACTGCTGGATGACGTCTCAGCCCAGTTAAACCCCTGAGGCAGCTGGTCATGTTGTGCCAAAATTCGGCGAGCGTGCCCAGTCGGTGTGATGCTGAGAAAGGCAGTCCGAGGTGGAACCGCTGTGCCCAAATGTGCCCAAGGTGTGTAGAGTATGGGGGGCCATTTACTCAGGTCTTGGATGCTGCGGTGCAACAGGTGCGTCGCAAATTACGTCTTGAGGGACGAGCCGTCTGTTGTCTCGCATCTTTGCCCGTATGATAGGCTGGATCTGGCGGTGCAGAAGTTGGGAGAAGTGTGGACGTCCCGGCCTGGGCATTCACAGCCTATCATGACTTGGCATCATCATGGGTGTGAGCGCAGCTTCCCTTCGGACTCTTGGCTTGGGCAAAGTAGATTGCGCAGTTATCGAGCGAGTATCGCACATTAGCGCTCGCCTTTGGGCGCGGCCTTGCAAAGCAACATGCGCCGCAGCAGCGCCGCGCTTGCGTTGCTGGCCTTTGGTCTCTGGGCATGCTGCCGCTGCTGCTCGCGCTTGGCTTGGGTGGCGCCCCAGGCAAACCTGGGAAGCAAGTTGGCGGGTCAGGTCCACCCCCGTGAGACCCGTCAGACCAGCCGGGTCCCACGGATGGCGCGAGGCGGTGAGGACTTGAGGGCATATGCCCAGAGCCTGCCAGTGCCTCCGGACTATGCAGGTCCACCATACCAAGGGCCTGCCTCGGTGAACGATGCGTTCATTGATTATTTGCTTAATCTGTACAAGCAACAGGGCAAGCTGCCTATGAAGTTTGCTTATCTCATGGCCCTGGATGTCATGGATCTGTTAAAGCAGGAGAAAAGCCTTCAAAGAGTAGCGGTTCCGGCGGGCTCCAAGATCACGGTGGTTGGTGACTTGCATGGTCAATACTTTGATTTCGTCCACATGATTCAGGAGGTTACGGGCAAGCCTGGCCCACAAAATCCCATTCTGTTCAACGGCGACTTTGTGGACAGAGGGCCATGGTCTGTCGAGGTGTTGCTCTGCCTCTATGCCTTCAAGCTCCAGCATCCTACGGCAGTGCACTTCAACAGGGGGAACCATGAGTCGGAGATGACCAACTATCAGTATGGCTTCGCAGGCGAGGTGCAGGTGAAGTACGAGAAGAAGCTCATGGAGCTCTTCAGCGAGACCTTTCGGTATCTTCCCTTGGCCCATGTCTTGGAGAACCAGGTCTTCGTGGCCCATGCGGGCCTCCCGGGTCCCGAGGAGCGCCTCTGGGAGGACTGGATGCAGAAGGCGCCCGACGAGGCCGCCGGCGTCCTGAAGCGCGACCGGCAGATAACGCTCGCAGAGATTGAGGCAACCAACAGGGTCTGTGAGCCCAACCCCATGGAGTTCCCCCTGGTCATCGACTTCCTGTGGTCCGATCCCAAAGGCGCGAACGGCTACGGCCCCTCCACCCGTGTCCCCATGGTTTACACTTTTGGGCCGGACGTGGCCCAGCGGTTCCTGGCAGCAAACAACCTCAAGTATATGCTTCGATCCCACGAGACCAAGTCCGCAGGCTACCAGGAGATGATGGCATGTCGGGGGTTAAGTGTAAGGCTACCGAAGGCTTTTTGAAGTTGTAGGGTTCAGGCTCTGGGGCCCCGGAGTTTGCGGGATTTTGGGGGGGTTCAGGAGACGATCCCGAACGTTGTTACCGTCTTCAGCGCCCCGAACTACATCGACCGGGCAGGCAACTTGGCTGCCGTCGCAGTTCTCACCAACCAAGGGGGGAACCTCGAGAAGCAGTTTGTTCAGTTTCAGCATCAGCCGCATCCGGACATTGAGAGTGGTGCCTACATGAAGGGCAAGTCCCTGGCACCTGCGTGATTCCGTTCCACGGCTTGAGTTTTATTTCAGCATCCGGTTTCAATCGATGCACTAGTCTGAAACCTGGGGTCCTCCAGGATTAGGATGTACCAACAATTCAGCAGCCAAAGTTCTCCGTAGCAGATTTAGCGCGTGGGACCCACAACGGGTTCCCGGCGCCGTGCAAATGGCCCCCGACCTGCAACTCCATGATATGCTGAAGAAATCCCACGAGTGTGTGTGTGTGTGTGTGTGTGTGTGCGTGCTCCAAATATCCCGAATACCTCTGACATCTCTGACTAGAGTCGCACAGTCAGGCAATGCTGCAGAGCCTCTTCCTACAGCAACTCGTGTGGTGCCTGGAAGCCTTGGCACAGTGAAGCACTGCTTCCGTCAAGACTGTAAAGCTGTTGTGCTGTGCTATGCCATTCTGATAAAGTGACCACTAACGGGGCTGTCCCCCACGGTCGGCTCTGTCCGAGGCAGACAAGCAATTAGGTATGGGTGCAAAGGTGGAGGGTTCGTTTGGGTTGTTTCTCGGGAGGGGGACATACAGGAGGACAAGAGGAGAAACATCACATTAAGGGGAACAGCTAACAAGAACAGGAACAAGAGTAACAACTAGAACGACCATAAACCAAAGAAACAACATAGTTTTCATTTCATTTCGGACGCTCGCGCGGGTGCGTCCCGCGTCTTAGCGGGAAGAATAGAGCAGCAGCAGCAGCAGCAACAACAAAGATGAACAACAACGACGCTCCTCTACACCCTCGGGCGACTTCAATCCTATTCACGGGATGGGGGGACGGAATCACTGGACCGGGCAAGTACAGTAGACACAGCTTGCCACCCACCACCTCACACCCACCATCTGCCACGTGGCAACTCCACGCACCCACTTTAGGGCATGGTGATTTTGGCCGGGAGTGGACCTGTCTAAGCTTGCACATCTCACAGGCACCAACCCCGACAGATTCGCTCATGTCGCAATATCGACACGTTTCGGCCTGAGGCGCTGCTTCGGCAGCAAACTGCGGCCAAGTTCGTGAAGGTTCGGGACCGTGCGGCGCTCAGATGTCCCTTACAATGTCCTTTGCAATGTCTTTTGCAGAGCTTTGTGAGCCTTCCTTGCATGTGTCTCATGCTGTCTCCACTGCGTGCATTCCCTGTGCAACATAGGTTTTGCAGAAGCGGTCACGCAAGCCGATCAGCAGTTCGTGTCGCAGGCTTGCTTGCTGTTGTAGTGGAATATCTCGATGTCGCCCCCACGCTAGTGCGCGACGATTCACAGAATGGCTCACAGCTTTAACATTCTTACATCATGTTACGCCGTTTCGTGTTCAACGCTGGAGGCCGAGGAGCTCAAGAGGCCTGGCAGTTCTTGGAGCTACCGGGAGGCAGTCTGGGAAACCTGGTACTTTTGGAGATGTTTGGGGCGGTCGTGCGCATGTGCGTGCCCGGTAGAGACAAAGCAGGACCGCTACGCTTTGAGAGCGGTTCTGGAGGGCAGCTTCAAGCGAGATGCTGCGCAGTCCTCAGGAAAACAGACAGGTGAGCCTACGTTATCCCAACTTGGGGCAGATGCCTTGCCAGTAAGTAAGTGCCCGTTTTGCACGTCTTCAGTGCTCTTAAAGCTTCCTCTGAGGAGCTTAGGGATGAGGAGGTGGCAGCTGCCGGTTGCTTAGTGGCCATTTCGGGAGCATCCAGGTGACAGGAGCGGTGATGATGTGTGCTTCGCGGTTCAGGTGAAATCTCAGCAATCTACGGTTGAGATCATTAGCAGGCCAGACAATCTGAGGTATGAGTTACACGCTTTGGATGTACATTGGTTGATTGCAGCACGGGAGATTCCATGTAACTTCTGATGCGGCTGGGAGAGGTTGCAAAGTCAGATGGAGAACTTGCAGATGCGTTTGAAGAACATGCGTTGCCGCCTTAGACTTGCTTCAACATCGGCAGTACCGCAAGAGGTGTTGAACCAATGTACGGACCAACTTGAGCTGCCCTACAAGCTTGCTGGGCTGTGTTGAGGGTTCAGGCATCGGTGTGCAGAAGTGAGCTTCTGAATCTTGCCGTGGGGATAAAAACGCATCGGCCGGTGGTGTTGTGCGAGTCTGCATCAAGGCGCTGGCCAGCCTTGGTTTATGTCAAGCTCGTACAGGACGGTCGCATGGTCAACTCAGAGAGCAGTCGTTCCTCCCACATCCGCTCAGGATTCCTGGAACCCCAGTGACCATGATTGGTCGATTTCAGCAGGGTCGTGCCAGCATCGAGTTGAACCTCTCGCCTGACAGGCAATGTTGGTGCGCTTTTGTGACAGCAACTCTGAAGTCAACCTTTGTAGCATTGTAAATCTACCTATGTATAATATATATATATATGTGTTCTATTGCATTATGTATTACTTTTTTCTTGCCATTGTAATTTTGTTTTCTATATTATTTGATATGATACTAAATTATATTACAGTATACAGTATTCGTGTATTATATTGTACGTTTTTTCTATTATCTTGTATTAAAATGTATTATCTTGTGATATAGTGTATGATATTGCATTATATGGATTACACGTTTGACACGGTATTTCATCGTATTCTATTGTATTATATTGTATTATATTGTATTATATTGTATTCTATTGTATTATGTTGTATTGTATTGTATTATGTTGTATTATATTGTATAATGTCGCATTATATTGCTTTGCAGTATTCTGTATTATATAAGATGGTATATGCGCGCAGGGACCCGGTCACTGCAGAAGCTGGATTCGTGCGAGGCGCTCCGCGAAGCCCCTGCTAGTCAAGCCACTTGCTTCACGGCCTCCATGGTGCATGACCAGATATGACCAGTCTCCTGACACTTTGCAGGAGCATGCTTCGGTTTGAGATGTTTTCGATTATTCCCCTCATCTGGTCTTCTTGCGACGGGGTGGGTACCGGCGAACAACGAAAAACTACCGGCGGACAACGAAAGATGTCTCACAACAACGAAAGATAACAACGTAAACGGCCCACCAGCATCGATCCAGGTCCGGCGGCAACCATCCCCTTCCGGCGAGCAACGAAAAACCCTTCTGCCGAGCATCGAAAACCTGCCGCCCAGCATCGAAAAACCCTCCGCCGAGCATCGAAACACCTTTTGGCCAAGCATCTCAAACTCTGGAACCTTTGTAGGAAGACCATCGACACTTTTTTAAGCCGTGCAAGCTTGATTCAAAGCATATTTAAGCCGTGCAAGCTTGCTTCAAATCAGATGAATCTTTTTTTTGCAAATAGGGGGTGCTGCCACCCCCCCCCAACCCCACCACTTTTTTAAGCTGTGCAAGCTTGCTGCTTGCTCCAAAGCATATGAAGCTTTTTTAACCCATCATGCGATCATTGTGTTTGCAATTGGGGGGGGGGGGGCTGCGCTCCCCCCAACCCCCCGCTTTTTAAGCCGTGCAAGCTTGCTTCAAATCATATGATAAACCATCATGCGATCATTGTGTTTGCAAATGGGGGGGGGGCTGCGCCCCCCCCCCAACCCCCCCGCTTTTTTCAGCCGTGCAAGCTTGCTTCAAATCAGATGAGTCTTTTTCCAACCCATCATGCGATCATCGTGTTTGCAAATGGTGGGGGGCCCCCCGCCTTTTTTTTTAAGCCGTGCAAGCTTGCTTGCAGAAAAGTTTGAATCTTTTTGAAACCCATCATGCGATCATTGTGTCTGCAAAAGGGGGCTTGTTTTGAGCAGTGCAAGCTTGCTTCAAAGCATATGAGTCTTTTTAGCCCCCCTCCCCCCCTCGCTTTTTTCTTAGAACCGAAATTGAACCTCAAGTCTATAAACCCTAACCCTCTGAACTCGAACCCTCAACCCCAGATCCGAAAACCCTCAACTCTAAAAACCCTCGACGCTAACCCCAAAGCCCTTCGGACACACCAAAGACCGCCCCTATACTCCCTGGTTTAGGGTTTAGGGGCTTCAGAGGTCCGTGTTAAAAAGGGTTTAGGGTTGAGGGTCGCGCCCCCCGCCCCCCCACCCCGCCCCGCTTTTTTAAAGCCGTGCAAGCTTGATTCAAATCATATGAATCCTTCTTTACATATATAGACAAAATAAAGGTCTTGCTATGGACAGATAGAGACAATGGAGGTTTGTTGTCCTATGTAAATATTCACAAAATAGAGGTTTCCCTGTGTAAATATAAGAAAATCATGGTTTTCCTACGTAACAATAGTGAAAATAATTGTTTTCCTACGTAAATAATAGCAAAATGTAGGTTTTCCTATGGAAACATAGAGAACCGCTTGACCCCCCCCCACCGCCCCCGCCCACACAACCCCCCCCCCAAAAAAAAAAACAAAAGAACAAAAAACAAACGACCGCCCCCACATGGGACGTGGTCAAAGAATGCTGTTGGGATGGTGTTTCTTTTAGCGCTTGTTGGACTCGAGATTTCTTAGAGTTGAGGGTTACATGGGGTCAAGCAAGTCCCAACGTCAAGGCTTGAACAGGGGGTCCGTCCCCGCGTCCGTCCCGTCCCGTCCCGTCCCGTCCCGTCCCGTCCCGTCCCGTCCCGTCCCGTCCCGTCCCGTCCCGTCCCGTCCCGTCCCGTCCGGTCCCGTCCCGTCCCGTCCCGTCCCGTCCCGTCCCGTCCCGTCCCGTCCCGTCCCGTCCCGTCCCGTCCCGTCCCGTCCCGTCCCGTCCCGTCCCGTCCCGTCCCGTCCCGTCCCGTCCCGTCCCGTCCCGTCCCGTCCCGTCCCGTCCCGTCCCGTCCCGTCCCGTCCCGTCCCGTCCCGTCCCGTCCCGTCCCGTCCCGTCCCGTCCCGTCCCGTCCCGTCCCGTCCCGTCCCGTCCCGTCCCGTCCCGTCCCGTCCCGTCCCGTCCCGTCCCGTCCCGTCCCGTCCCGTCCCGTCCCGTCCCGTCCCGTCCCGTCCCGTCCCGTCCCGTCCCGTCCCGTCCCGTCCCGTCCCGTCCCGTCCCGTCCCGTCCCGTCCCGTCCCGTCCCGTCCCGTCCCGTCCCGTCCCGTCCCGTCCCGTCCCGTCCCGTCCCGTCCCGTCCCGTCCCGTCCCGTCCCGTCCCGTCCCGTCCCGTCCCGTCCCGTCCCGTCCCGTCCCGTCCCGTCCCGTCCCGTCCCGTCCCGTCCCGTCCCGTCCCGTCCCGTCCCGTCCCGTCCCGTCCCGTCCCGTCCCGTCCCGTCCCGTCCCGTCCCGTCCCGTCCCGTCCCGTCCCGTCCCGCCGGCGCCGGCCCGGTCCGCCGGCCCGGCCCACGGCCCGGCCCGCGGCCCGGCCCGGCCCGGCCCGGCCCGTCCCGTCCCGTCCCGTCCCGTCCCGTCCCGTCGGCGGACATCGAAAACCAACTGGCGGACATCGAACGGGAACCGGCGGGCATCCATAGGTCACATCTTGTCTTTCGTTGTCATGATGACTTTTTCGTTGTTCGCCGGTAATATTCCTCTTGCGACGTCTGAAGTGATCAAAAGTGCGTGCACGTGCCGGTGTGGCGGCAGGTGTTGGCCCCGCGAACCTCGGCGTGAGTGCCAATTTTGGCTTCTGAGGAAGCGAGCAGGGGCCTGCCCGTGCATGCCGACATCACATGACATCACTGTCAAAGCGGTGTCGGTATGCACGAGAGGCGAGATGGAGCCCAGACGTGTCACAACTTCGTGGAGTAAAGGCTTTAGTGCTCTGTGACTCTGTGCAGCCGCAACTGCGCCACAGCACAGTTTTCTGTAAGCTACGAGACGAGCTCTAGTTGCCAGCCTGCAAAGAGCTCACATGATTCACATTCGATGGAGCTGGCAGCTTCTTCATCTGTAAAAGGCTTTTCTACTGTCTCAGTGTTCTGGTTTCGGGCCGCCTGGGACTGCTTTGGATCTGAGTTTAAAGTAGGGTACATGGTGGTAAAGCTTTCTGGAGTTGGAGTGCCTCACTCGTAGGTCGGGAGCTGTGTTCGTCAGGGCTTTTTGGTCTTTAGTGTCTAGGGGCACTGTATGTCATTGATTTCGTTGTGGCCAAACGCAGCTATTGTCGGTGTCCCTCATCCCGTAGCTGCGATGCAACAATGGCTTGCGCTTTTGTATGCATGTACTCAGATATGAGCGGTTCAATGGCACAGGAGTATCGTATGCCATGACAAAATTCTGTGCGACATCCGAGATGATGTGTGCCTGAGGCCAAGTCATTCCTCCACAAAAGTTGGCGTTTTCAGTTCAGCTATGCTTGCAACTGGTCAGCATGACACAAAAATAACCTCGTACTCCGCGGCGCTCCGCCCCAACTGGACACCACAACCCAAAGCCGCGCAACACTTCCCCGGTATTCCTGGACGCCTCGAAGCCGATGGACGAAGCCTCGGGGCCTTCAGCCCAAGAAGGGCCGCCCACTGAGCGTTGATAGTTTGCTGTATTTTGCTGTGCTGATGTGCAAGTCGACTGTCTTTGCTTTTTTCACGCGGACCGCGGCTTGAATGCCCAGGTCTCCTGCTGCGAGAAGCGAGATTGTCGAGTCAGGAGTCGACGTTTCACAGCAGCACTGTTTGACACATGGGGGTTTAGGATATTAGGGGTACCTTCTTGGGGTCCTTACTATGAGGGGATCCTACTATTTGGGGCGTGCAAGGTCAGGTGCACGTTGTGTGACGATGGGTCCCATACGCCAATTGACCCCACACAGCGTGAAACTCCAGCAAGCTGGCACACATACGCCGACCGATATTTTGTCTGATTTGCTTAGCGCCCCCTGCGCCACAATTGTTTGAGGTGTGTGTGTGTGTGCCTTCGTGACTCGTGACTGCAGATTCATTTGTGCATATATGTTCGCGTTGGCAGCCGTTGGCAGACTCATCTGGACCCTGTGTTCTTTTTGCTTGCTGCGTGGTGATGTATGGCAAACGCCCGGACGAAGTCGCTTGACCCTGCCGGGTGTGGTTTGATTTTTGCTCGGCGGTCGCACGGCGCCTTCTCAGGTGCTTTTTTTCGGACACCTTGCAGACACGCGCGATCGCGGAGCAAAAACGGAAAGATTGTGAAAACAGCTGCACAGCAAATATCAAACTTCGGCCGACTCCATCACCCTACCCATGCTACCCACACCTATTCGACCTTGTATCAGAGATTGATCGACAAAGCGCTATAGTGGGTTTGCAAGGAAACCAAGGAGAACAGAAAGCCTTTCTGGAAGCAACATCCCTTGCTACAGATGGGACACTGTCTCAGGCCGATGTTCGTCAGCATGTGCGCCAACCTGCGCACATACAGCGCGCACTGCACACTGTACACTGCACAGTGCGATTTCACTTCCAAATGCAACATCGAGCATTGCTGTAGAGCAAGTTAGCATCGTGAAGATTCGATGGAGTATGTGTCTCTTGCAACAGCTGCATCCACAGCAGTTTCTAGTGGAAAGGAGGCGTAGGGTGTGAGTCGGTGCAAGGTCACATGAATACGCGTCCCATTCATAGACGTGGGGCATGTGGAGCATCTTCGACTGCAGCCGCGTAGGCCAGCAGGAAGATGGAGGTGGTGGCAAGGGAAACAAGAGGACTGCCTGCTTTCTGAAGTCTGCAAGTGCACAGCAGCTTAGCAATCAGTTGCGTTGCTGCAGGAGGCGGAAAGGCTCGATCTGAAGCGGAATTGCGAGCACCGTTCTCAGGCGAGTGCAATGTGTGACAGGCGGCGATAGCGAGAAACAGTTCGACCTGGTCTTGCGCTCAGCTCCAAGCAGCTCTGACTTCTGGGTGAACTTGTCGTTCGGCACAGGTGGGAACAATCAGGATGTTCAATGCAGACAAAGGCGCTGCCCTGCTGAGGAAGTCTTGATATCTCTTTCAGTGTTGTGAATTGATCCTTGACTGTTGTTTCGAGTTGGCACCTGTGGGAGGTTGGGGCTTCATAGATGGTGACACGGGGGGCAAGGACATCTTCTTGTCGTTCGACTGTGTTGAGACATGTTGAGACATGTTGAGACATGTTGAGACAGACTGCGCAAGATGCTTTTGTGATGTCATGGGTGGGTGCCAGCTGAGGCATGCAAAGCATTTTGTGAACCACCGGCCTGTTGGCAAATCCAAGAAGTTGGTGTTCGGCTGGAGTGTTTCGAGCGATAGGATCTGTTCTGCCAGGGGCAAGCCGCCCAACTATTGGATAGGTCAGGGCCTTGTTTACCACGAGGCATCTAAAGTTAAGCAGCAGTCACCGGTGTTTGTGCTGCCAAGGCCACAAAATGCAAACGAAGGCGCGACCTGCAAATAAGAGCGTCTCTCGGCATTTTATGTTGATTTTTTTGTGAAGCAAAGTCCTCCAGGATAAGCACGTCGTCCGGCGCTGAGGGCTCCGGGAGCTCGCGCGGTGCGCGCTCGAGAACTGCTGAACTGCTTTGTTTGGTTGCGCAGGCCCCGAAAGTCTGCGAGGGCCCAGTGCGGGTCATGTCGGCCGCCTCATCCTACCATGTGAGGTCTAAAGCCGGTGCGCAGCGGTGGTGGCCATGTGCGCGTGCGCGCTCAGGTTTGACATGTCCTTGACCAGCCAGGGCAAGCCTCAGGCGCCCCCGTCGGTGGAAGCACAGCAGGAGAAATGGGCACCTTCTTGGCATCTTGCAACTCCTTGACTCAGGCGCTGAACGTCCGAATAACAGGTGGCCACGAGGAACCGGAGGCAGTGCACTGCGTCCGATGTCTCCGGACCCTCAACCCTCAACCCTGATTCTCTCCATCACATCTGTCTCTTGATTTGACCATGCTTGCCAGGATGAGGACAGTGCAGCTGCCGTGTTTACACTGATTGCCTGCCGGACAGAAGTGGTCCGCGCGTTGAACTTGCCAGGTGAAGACAGGCCGAGGCATGACAAGCTCTGAGTGCTACGATGCGAAATGTTACGAGTCGTCACGAAATTGGAATTCAAGAATGTGCGAGTAGTTTTCAGGGATCTCTGCGCAGGCGGACGTCACCTACCTGTGAGAACTGTGGTTCCACAGTGGTGGCTCGGCTGGGTCTCTCTGTGGGCATCTCAGTGTCTCGCCCGCCTCTCTTGAAAAAGTAAGCTGACACTCATATCATGCGACGGTCTGGAACGATGCTGTCTTTGAGGTTTGCATCCTCTGCGGCACTCCTGCACCTAGTCGTGGCCGATAGTGGTATGTGGCAGACTTTCTCCAGATGCCCCAGTGTAGAGTTACAAAGAGCACAATAATGTCCCAGGTTTCTAAAGTTCTAAAGAAAGCCGAAAGCCAAGGAAGCACCCAGTACACCTTCCAAACGTGCCAATCTACCGAGTCATGGAAGCCCGATGTAATGCAAAGACACAGCTGCTAGGGACATAAGTAGCATCGTTCTGGTGATCACTCACGCGCTTGTAGACTTCTCTGCGATGAGATGCTGTGGGCTGCGAGAAAACGTGCCAAGGACGATGTCGCTTTTTGCAGTGTGTGCCGCCCAAAATGGGCATGGAGCATGGCATGGGCAATGCAAGATGCACGTGTCGACTGCATGCCAAGCCTCTGGCTTCATTCGGCCGGCAGGGTTGACATGGCCATGCATGGTGCAAATTTGGTGCAGCAGAGTGTGAAGGCATGCAAACTGATCCCGACGGATTCTTCAAGTTTTCTCACTGAAACCTTTGCGAAGTCCTCCTCTTCGCCATGAAGTCGTCATTTCCAAGTCTGGACAAGAAGGCCTGAAGACATTGCGCGGATTGATGCTGGCTGCTTCCTCAATCGTTCCAGGTGCCGGAGAGCAAGAAGTACGCTGTCGCCCTGCTACCTCGCCTGATCCCCAGGAAGTCCTGTAATGTGGAGACAGGTACGCGCACATTGGCTCATCAATTGATACCGGAGCTTCAGCCAAGAAGGAGAAGGCGCGACAGGAAGATGTAGCCAAATGTCGCGCAGTTGTAGCCGGATTAGCAGCCTGGTTACTTGCCCCTTTGAACAGCTTCACTCCGCAAACGTCATGGCCAAGCGCAAGGACGAGGTTTGCCGCCTAGTTCTCTTGACATGTCCGGAGCATGGGCCCGTGATGATCGACCTCCGCGCCAGATCTTCAAGCGCATTCGTGCCGCCACGCTGGTGCGTTTGCTGCAGGACAGAGAGGCCAGGCAGAAGCCGCTAGAAAGACTGTTCTGCAGTGTCTGTCAGTTGTCGGATGTGGGAAGTGTGATGATGCGTGCCCACAACATCAGCTACGCGTGACGATGAGTTGGGTACTTTGGTTGCTGTTCCTCTGAGGTCTCAGAGTCCGTCTATGCTCTCGGCCGCTCAGAGTCTTGTTTACGGTGTGGTGACTGCGGCGGTCGCAGAGGTTTAGACATCTACATATATATGGTTCCGTGTCCCGTGTCGGTACCCCCCCCCCATGGTATCCCCCCCCCCCCAGCCCCCCCCCCCCCCCCTAAACCCTAAACCCTAAACCCTAAACCCTAAACCCTAAACCCTAAACCCTAAACCCTAAACCCTAAACCCTAAACCCAAAACCCCTAAACCCCTAAACCCGTAAACCCGTAAACCCGTAAACCCCTAAACCCTAAACCCTAAACCCTAAACCCTAAACCCTAAACCCTAAACCCTAAACCCTCAACCCTCAACCCAAACCCCAACCACAGCACCCCACAGGGGGGCCCAAACCACAGGGGGGCGGAGCGGGGACCCTAAACCCTAAACCCTAAACCCTAAACCCCAAACCCTAAACCCTAAACCCTAAACCCTAACCCTAAACCCTAAAACCCTAAACCCTCAACCCTTAACCCTCAACCCTTAACCCTAAACCCTAAACAAACCCAAACCCCAACCACACCACCCCACAGGGGGCCGAACCACAGGGGGGCGGGGCGGGGAAAGAAGAGGGGGGGGGGGTGGGCATGGGGGGGGTACCATGGGGTGGGGGGGGGTGGGGGGGGGCAGCGACGCTGCACCATATATATATATATATATATCTATGAATCTACCATATTATATGTATACAGGTATATCTCCTCCATTAATCTATTAAAAAATGTATATATATATATATATATATATATGTATATATATATATATATGCACACATCGTAAAAGAGGTTTTCCCCGCATTTTCCCCGTTGTCCGAGGCCCCGGCTCGGAGCACGGTGATCGGGCCAGCGCTTCATCCGTCCTGGCCTCCAAGGCAAGGAAGAGTAAAACAGTACATTAACATATATATATATATTATTGTATCAGTATCTGCATATATATATATATATACATATAATTATTGGTAGATGAATAGACTAAGAGGTGCATAGAATGATAGATCATTGTAATCATAGGCCCGTTCGAAATTCTAAAGGAGCCTCATCTTCAGGGATCTTGTTGGGTTTGCCATATTCGTCACGAGGCTGGGCCGGCGGCTCCCATGAGTGTTGCCTCGGTGAGTTCTGTTGCGGGGCCTGGATGCTCGGATGCCGGTGTTGGGGGGACCCTTCAGATCGGCATGTATGGCCGGAAAGGCGATCTTCTCTTGATCGTAGCACTTTTTTAAACAGCTGCCCCAAGAGATTTTCTCAAGCTCATTGTTGGTAGATGGAGTTGGCTGAAGGCAAAAGGAGACAGCATGTTTTTTGCCTGGCATGGACAGGGCTTTCAAACGATCAGCAGCTTAAAGCACTCGGCACATGTCTGGAAACACAAGACTGTATTACGCACCTCGCGTAATGGCCTCTGTTGCGGTTGCGGCTGGAGAAAGCTGCCATGTGTGCAGAACTGCACTTTGAGCAGGCGGTGCTGAAACATGCGCTCTCCAAGCACGTCCACCACTTTGATTGCCGGGATGGCATGCGCTCACGTGCTAGGCCAGGCAGGCCATGCCGGGTCAAAGCCCCGAGGTCGGCGCGCGAAGTCTATGGACGGCCCCTGGCAGAGGTCGCTCAGGATATCTATGCAGATCTGGCACCGCCCGCGCCGCCCGCATCCAGACCACCCCGAAGGTTCTGGCCAGCACTCCTGGACTTGAGACGCCCCAGCATTCCGGCACCACGGTTGTGCCCACGGTGGGCGCGAAACTACCAGCACTTCATGGAGAAGCAGATCCTCCTAGACTCGGACATCTCGGACAATGCCAATGCAGAGAACATGGAGAAGGGCCCGAAGAGTGACACGTCATCGGAAGATGATGATGAAAAGTCTCCGAGGCTTGGGGAGAGACATGAGAGGTCTCAGAGCCCTCAGAGCCCCCAGAGCCCTCGTCCGATTCGCACCTTCAAGGGGCGGGATCCTCAGGAAGAGGCCTGGAAGAGGTGGCAGTTTCTGCAGCACATGCCCAACTACTTGGCCTGGATGGTCGAACAGAAGGAGTACCGGGAATTGGTCAGTAAAGGGCACCAGTCCCAGCTCAGTAGTGCTCGGCGTCAGGTCATGGCATCTGACCTGGCTGTGCTACTGCGTGTTCTCCCAATGTTCAGCGATGGTGACAACGACGGCGGCGATGACAGGGACGTTGCAGAGGAGCTGGCTCTCGTGCTCAGCAGCACAGGCCGAAGAAGCAGACCCACACGCGCACAACCGCCCACGGTACAGAGGCGGGCAAGCAAGTTGTCGTCACTGCCAACCGCCACTACGGCGATGGAGTCACTAGCTACTCGAAGAGCAAGTGTGGAGAACATGGCTGACAGTATTGTAGAGGCAATACGTGTGGCGAGCGGCAAGGCCAAAGCGGCCCGGCCTCCGAGCAAAGGTCGAAGCATTCCCAGCTCGAAGAGGAGGCAGTCGCAGAGCCAAGAGCGCTCGCGAACCGCTGGACACCTTCAGTCGCAGTCCGGGCAGTCCGGGTTGCAATCCCGCAGAAACAGCTCTGCACTCGGCTCGGAAGCCGATGAGCACCAAGATTCTCCGGCATCCTTGGAGACGGTCTCATTGGAGAGCTTGCTTGACGCGTTGCCTTCTGCGACCAAAGTGCGCTGGGGTGATATCCTCAAGGTCACGGATGCAGATCTGCACAGCAGCAAGCACCGCTTTATCATGAGAATTGCACATGCGCTGCGGCAGAAGCCACAATGGTTCATCGTCCACGAGTCGATCGGCTCTGGTGAGATGTCGGCAGAGCTTGTGGAGCCACAGCCGCTGGACTCCCCACTGCCACCTTCTGCAGAGGACGTCCCGCAACGGTGCCACTGTTGGCTTGGATCGCTGATGGTTCTGCATCGCCTCGAAGAGGTCGCGGAGGTGCTCTCCGAGTCTTGGCAGTTTCAGGTCTCCTTGGAGCGCCTGGAGCGCGTTGCGGCCTCTGTGGAGCGAGCAGAGAGCCTCGTGCTCTGTGGTGGCTTCGCCCTGACCTTGGACGTGTGCCCTGGTGACACAATGACAACGATAACATGCCTGAGGATAGCACAAATATGTACGAGAGGGTGGATGTGAGAGGACTTGAGAGGGCACGTTTCTCGTTTCGGAGGTGCCGGGCTCGGGCCACGGACCTCCTGTCGCCCCTGCGGCCCCTGCCGGGCTCCGAGGTGCGACTGGCAGAACTTCCTGCGGTGCATGATGCAATATGATGTGCATGTCGCAACAGCCCTGGCGACTCCAGCGACTCTTGATCGGGTCGCGGGTTCGCAGGCGCTCTCACCGGCCTGGCTGAAGCGTGTCTTCGAGACCAGAGACGAGGAGGCCTGGGTCGGCAGCAGAGTGTCAGCGAAGGATGGTTCCTTTGCGGCCCAAACATCAAGGGGTGGCACTTCAACAGGCGGGCCGCAGCTGCCATTTCTTTGTGAAGCCGAGGACAATCCCCACGAGCTTGGTGACGATCTGCGGCTCCTGGCGCAGTGCCTGGCGCACCAGGCAGCCGGAGATGGCTTTGAACAGGAGCCGCTAGGGACAACTTAATCGCAACTTCATCATCTTCATCATTGCAGGACCTAGATCCTCACATCCTAGAACCTTGGCAACCAACGTGAGTAGAGTCTTTGCCATTCACAGGGTTGCTCCGCGGCCGCATGAGAAAGGCAAAGGCGCGCAAGCACACAGACACACATGGCTAGCTGGCTAGCTGACTGCTAATTATAAAGATCAGTGTCGGGGCTTCACGTAGTGCTCTCGCACCATCACTGCGCTGTGCAACGGGCTGCGCTTGTGCTTGCGGGAGAACTTGGCAGTGCAGGACATTGACAGCCCCGCGCGCGAGTTCAGTGAGGATGCGTGGAGGCACTTCTGCAGGCAAGATGTAGGCTGCAGCTGAAACTCCTTTCTGTTGAAGCATCCGTTGAAGACATCGATGGGTGCAGGACCTATCTTGGTGAGCATGCGGACGATCAGGCTGGGCCAGAGTGGGCATCTGCGCGCAGGTCGCGAAGCAGATTCGTGGACGCAGCCCAGGATGCATCCGCTTTCGCCGAAGCCACCGATCATCTGCTTCCCGAGACCTCTCGCAGGCATGGTGAGGCATCTTGGCGAAGCATGGGAGTTGCTTTTTAGACTGCAGCGCCTTACGCAAAGACAAAGGTGCTCTACAGACCCATGCTGGGAGCGTTGATGCTGGAGTTGCTGCTTCAAAGGGAGGCTCACTCTGTGCATTGCACGGGCGCAGCTAGAAAACGAACTGCATCTCTAAAGGGCGGCTTAGCACAGTATTAAAATAGTGATTACGTGCTGTGTTGTTGTGTTTTGTTCCTGGTAGGTGGCCCATCGTGTGCGCTCCAGCACTGAGAAGGCTTGGATGTCTAGATGCTTGCATTGGCGCGGAGAGACGATTTCCTGCTGGGCAGTGGCAGGTGGAAAACTCGGATCTGCACTGGAGGGTCGAGATCATCGACTCCAGCATGAAGGATGCGAGAAGCGATCCTGAAAACGCCTCTGTATGCTTTGTGGAAGTGCAGTGCAGGACTACCTGCCGGAGCTCATGTGGCAGGCAGCAGACTTGATCCCATAGGTTCCAGTAGGCAAGACAGCTCTTGAGCTGAGCTGAGCTTCGCAAAGCTCTTTACATTGAGCAGGGCGGCCTTTTTTTTCTCCTTCTGCTTGTCCTGGCAGGTGATGGGCTGGAATACACCGGCCGGACGCAGAGTGCTGCGAAGGCCCGTGCTTGAAACGACACGCAGACTATCATGTTCTGTCTTAGCTATCGCACTCCTCGAGCGATGTGCATGCCCCAGGTTCAGCTTTGCGTTCTTCCAGCTCACTGCAGAGACCAAGAACGAGATGTCGCGCAAGGGCTTCCTCCGACTCTGCCACGACGCAGGCAGGCCTCTCCCAAGCAACAGCCACACTGCGCATGGGCTGTGCCGCAAGACTTTTTCTGCTTTCTCCCCTCTAAACTGCCAGGCTGGGATGCTCAGTTCCGGAGCCGATCCGTGGAATCCCTGGCCTCTTGTGTGCTTCATTTAATGTACGTGGACTCACTGAGAGCCAAGTCTGCTCAGAGGCCAGCGATGCCTTCTTTGGGAGCATCTTTGAGGATGCGGTCATTGCCAACACTGCAGACTTGTGCCTTGCTCGCTCGGAGTATGTGGGTGTTTCCCAAAAAAGCGGTACCCTTTGTATCACACTCGAACAGAATCCCCTCAACAGGATCCCCCAAAAAGGGTACCCTTAGTTTCGGAAACCTCCATATTGCCTCTGTTGAACGTACTCCTCGGGTAAATGGAGGCGGTCAGATGTGTGTTGATTTGTTGTAATCCAAGAGCCCAGATGAGGGCCTTCTTGTCTAGCTGCAGCTCAACGAACGGACGTGTCCGCCCAACGGAAGCACCCGTGGCTCGAGACCAACATGCCGTGACATGAGGCTCAACTTCCATCAGATTCTCAAGATGTTGGCTGAGCTGGTTGTTCTTCCTGACAGAGGCACAACCGGGTACAGAAAGCAGAGGTTATCGAGGCCTGAGCAAGACAGAAAAGAGCTAATGCGGTGTGTCTCGCCAGGCTGCTGTGGAATTTTCGCAGCGCCGCTTGCGACGAAATAGCGATGGGTGTTTGATACATCTGAAAAATTTATATCTTTAATTTTCTAAACCTGTAAGATATATCCATAGACACAGCAGTTTCTGTGTGAGGTTGCAATGTGTCGCAGACGACCTGACGGAAGTAGTCCGAGCACAAGAGCAATCAGCATTGAGCGCAAGTGCCCCGGCGGCAAGGATGTGCAGTCTCTTACATGCGTAGGATACCGAGGCACGCATGCTGCGTCTTCTGAAAGATAGCTGCTCAACGCAATGACATGCAAGTTGCTTGCCCTTTTTTTGCTTCCAGTGTGAGGCTGCAAGTTGATGACTTCTGTTGCGATGGAAGCCTGTTTCCAACTGCCACAGTCACCCCTCGTGAGGCAACCGTGCAAGCACCGCAGCTGCCAAAGGGGCTCAGGACTGTGTGTCGTGCATGTTGAGAAGGTGCTTGGCTTCAGAGAATCCGAATCACCGGCTAGCAACTCTTTTCGCAGGCTCGCGAGCGGAGGTTGTTGGTAACGAGATAGCCAGATGAGCCGGCTGCAACAGGAGATGTTCCAATGTCCAGACGTCAGGGCGTCTTGAAGCTGGATGTGGTCAGGGTTTGGTTTCAGCATAATGTATACAAGATAATATATATATATACATATATATATATACATCAAGCTCCAAGAAGCCGATGATAATGAGCTAGTGCAAGTGTCAGCAAGTGTGATCCGAGACGGACACAGCTCTTGCACGGCAGCTGTCACAAGCTAGCCAGCGCAGGCTACCTCACCAAAGGTGTGTGACATGAGTTAATGCACAGTGGCTCCTGTGAAGGGGAGCAATGCAATGAGCAAGCAGTGTTGGCAAAAGCCACAGTGCTCCATCATCAAAACAAGGGCCAAAAGAAGGGCATAGGTCGGCGATTTTGGGGTCAACTCTGTCTGTGACATGGACTCTGGCATGGATGAGGTCCGTGGTGAGCGTCGTTGAGACGGACACGACCGTCTCGGAGGTGGCCGCAAAGGATTTGGATTGTGAATTCATTGCACTATCAGTGCGTTTTCATTTTCATGGTAAACGCTTGCACGCCGAGCCTCGGCAGACGGGCTGGCCCAATGCGGGGCGGAACGTGCGCATCGCAGACGAAGGAAAGCCAAGTCCTTTGTCACGTGGTGCAGCACCACGCCCGCCATGAGTTCAGGAGGTTGGAGGGGGTCCAATCTAGGCATGCCACAAAAGGTCCCGGAAGGGGGGATCTTCGCAATGGCGCGATCTCTGCGAGTGGGGCCCACCGCCTAGAACCTCCGCGGCATCGGATTGCGGCTCCTCCAGTCTCGGGTGGAGACCAGATCTTGGTCTGCTTGTTCTAGACGCCTCTCGGGCCAGAAGCCGAGGCGAAGTACATTATCATTATGACGTTACACGAGTTTACTCGAGCTCCGTACTCTGCAAATCTCTGTGAGGCGCGGGACCTGGTCTTGCTGGACGTGCGAGAAGGAGATGAGCCGGGTTCCCGTAAGATCTCGTAAGGCTCACATAGGCTCACGGGAACTGTGTCTTTTGCTTGTGTTGGACTGAAAGGTTCGACCAGTGCCATCTCCCACTGGCGGTGTCCTACCCGGCGCCCAAGATCAACAGGGACAGTTTGCATATTGACTCAGGAATAACCGAGCATGCTTGGCCGACGGTGGAAATTTTGTTGTGCCCTCCATCTGTCAGGACCAATTCATTCCTGAACTGTTGCGTTGCAAACGGGATCCTGCAAAGTTGCTGGCAGCTGCCTTGGTTGGTGTCTCTGCAAGCTGCCGCACAAGCCTGAAACAGAAGCTGCAACAGATATTGATGATGTCCAGTACCGCTGAAGGTGGTTTATGGTGCGAATGAGCAAGCAACTGTCGGAGTTGCAAAGCTCCTTGTAGAAAAGGCCAGCGCCATGAATCATTATGTGCCGTATCCAAACAAGCTGCGAGTCTCTTACCGAAAATGATGCATACAAGGGCTGGGAGAATGTTCACGCGCTCAGTGGTGGTCGCGGCCTTAGTCTTGTCGTCTGGACAGGCAGAGTTGCCCAATCCGGGCCTTGTGGCCCAGGGGCAATCCAGATGGGTGTAACATGTGCTGTAAGCAAGGCTTCGGGGTGCGGACAACTAGAGATCGTCGGGTTTGAACTTGATCTCCGCTTAGACAAATACTATTGGCAAACGTGGACTAGCTGGGCCTTCGGAGTCCGTAACGAACACTAAAGTCGGGAACGTGATTCATTATGTCAAATATTTGCATGCTTGCAACAATCACCATCTTCAGAGCTCTAGCCGTCCTGAAACGCAATTCGCTCCTCACTTGGTTTGACCCGACGGCGTTATGACCAGTTCTCGAAACAAGGAAGGCCGCCGCACTCTCGGGCGGTCTCCGTGTGTGTGTGTGTGTGTGTGTGTTTTTTGCCTCTCCCTCTGAACCTGCGAAACACGAAGTTCTGCAAGGCTTCGAAGAGATGGTTCAGAGTTACTCGGAAGTGCTCGAAGGAGCGTGCCTGAGCATCTTCAGCTTCCCGTAGTTTGGTGTCATCCCCAAGCAAGTCAGGGGGCTGTTGCGTAGATTGAGGTACGGTGCCAGACAGGCCGCTTACCACAAGCACCACTCGATCTGGGCAGAGCCCTTAGATTCATTTAGGTATGTCCCCTCAAAATTCGTTCATCTCGCATTTCTTTGCGCTAGGCCCTAGGCCCCAGAGTCTGCATGTGAACAGTGCTTGTGAGGCCGAGGAGGTGAAGCTGCGGTGAAATCCGGAGTTGCATCCAAGCCTGGTCCCGTCTGTGTCGGTCTCACTGTAGTTACGTAGCTCGGTCGACCCCTGTAATTCGCGAGATGCATTGAAGATAAACTCTTGGCCAAGGCTTGAGTCATTCCAGGGAGCAATCATGGCTGCCGCTCTGAGTCGAGGGTACCGAGCCGTATTGGTCCGATCGGCATGAGCGACATTGACTCTGACCGACAGTGCAAGTCTCTGTTTTTCATTAGTCATGAAAAACTGGAAAGAGCCCGATCGACAAGATGGAAGCAGATGTTTGCTTCGCTCCAGTAGACCAGACGCGCATCGACATTGATATCAAACGCACTCCTTCCCGGCGCTTCGCCGCAATGGTACCACCGAGGCCATGCTCCCAGCATGCAAAAGTGTGCAGTTTTTCCTAATCTTCTTTGGCCATCCCATGACATCCCATGTCATCCGACGTCGCCTATAGGCGAAGGTGTTCCTGGAGGATGCCGGTGCGTTTCGTGCTAGAGTGTGTTGGCAGTTGGCTGCAGCGTGATCGAGTTGTCTTTGGTTTGCCTCCACCAACATGGCGGCTACGTGCTGATGTGTGGCTGATGTGGTGGCTATATGCTTGTACGATCGTGGCGTTGGGTGCTGAGTGCTCACAAGTGCTCCATGCCGTAGCCGTTTGAAGCTCAAGGCCAGGTCCCTGAGACCAGAAGTTCCCAGATATCCCAACTGTCTCAAGGACTCGTGCAGAAGGATGCGGCCTGCCACCGCCCGCGGACGTCGCTCCAGCTCTCCCCAGGTTGACCCAGCGATGGCCAGCCGGCTCAAGGAGCTGGAGAACGCGCGCAAGGACGAGGAGCGCCAGAAGAAGCTGGCGGAGCGCAAGCGCGCGCAGGAGCTGCGTGAGGCGAAGAAGAAGCTCGCCCGGGAGCTGCAGGGAGCGCAGCGGATGCTGACCCGAAGTGAGCAGGAAGTGAACAAGCTTACTGGACAGCTGAACCGGACCGAGCAGCAGGCGCAGCAAGCCACGGTAAAGAAGAACCGCGAGGGCGAGAAAGCGGAGGAAGGCATTGGGCGCATCAGGCAGAAGTACGGGAAAGTGGACAACACCTTGCGCGAGAAGATGGCCAATGTTGGACAAGCTCGCGGCCGCTTGGCCCATGTCCAGTTCGCCATGGCCATGTTGGAGCGTGGAGTCATTGTTGCTGTTGGCGAGGATGGAGGCCCTGTGCAGTCCCCAGACAACACCATGCTCAGCCCGCAACAGCAACGCCGCATTCGTGTGGCGAGGCGCTCGCCCGAGGAGGGTGGCCCTGAGACGGACGAGACTGAAGAGGGCGAGGAGCAGGAGATCGAGGAAGAATATGACGAAGGAAGTGCAGCTTTGCGTGAAGAGCTTGAGCAGTTGAAAGAAGAGAACCTAAAGCTTCGAGAGCACTTGGCTGATGCGGACAAGCGATGCACAACTGCTGTCCAACTCCTGCAGCAAGCGCAAGAAGTTCTGGAGACCAGGATGGACGACATGTCGACGGTGGACTTCAAGATGCATGTGGAGAAGGAGATGGAAGCCCCGGTGGATTTGGAGAATGCGTCCACCATGCAAGGCAGTCAAGATGGCAGCACACAGCACTCGCCCATTGCACAGCCAGCTCTGTTCGAGACAGCACCCTTGCCAGCACCTGCGCCAGTGCCTGCGCCTGCACCTTGTACTCTGCCCAGCCTCTTGCGACAGCCGATGCCAGACGTCAAGCGCGTCCCTGTCTATGCCGGCACCTTCTCTCCTCCTAATCGCATGGCAGCTTGGCCTCCAAAATGTGCAAAACCTCGCTTTGCAAGTGACCTGCAGTGAGATGCGGAGTGCAGATTCGATCTAAAAGTTGCCTGTTCAAGGTGAGCTGCCCTATGAACGTCCGCTATCAACCAGCACAACTTCCTCGTCAGGCACCTGCAACTGGCAGCATTCGCAATTTACGAACCAGATTGGCCTTGACTACAGTACAATGCATCTGCAACATTCGATGGAGAACACAGCTGTTTGACTGAATGTATGACTGCCGTCACCTCTGGCTTCGCCTTCACAGGATTTGACCATGCCGCTGGGAGCAACTCTTCTTGACTCTTGATGGCAAGCCTTGGATGCGGAGGGTTGATCTGCGTTCTGTGTCTTGATGTAAAACCCTGTGCTGAGGGATCTCAGAGCACTTCGACTCTCCATCCTCGTGGCGTTGCCAGCATGACGATTCCTTCAGCACAGGGCGCCCGGATGTTCCCAGCTGCTCGGCTTATCCATGACATCATGAGGGTCGTCAGATGTTGTGCTGGTGGTGCTGGTGCTGTTGCGACCTGTTAAGAGCCTGAAGGCTGAGCCCGTTGCGATTCCTCAAGCCTTCAAACCAGTGGTCGATGTCTCAGCTGTCACTACTCCCCAAGTTCCCCAAGTGACTTCTCCCAGTGGCTTTGTCCAAAAGGCTGAACCGATCTCTGCACCGATGAGGCAAGGTTCATGCTTGTTCGTCTATGGGTAGCGATGTGCAAAGGGGCAAGAGGAATAGCAGTCAAAGGGAGATCATAGAAGGTACATGGCATGATCTTGAGCTCGGCTTGTAAGAACTCGCGTAGCCATGGCCAGGTAGACTGGCGCATACTGGCGCCGAAACTTGCACCTCCCTGAGGGCATTGTACCTTGAGTTGCCAAGGTGAGAGAAAAGGTGAGGGAGGCTAGGCAAACGCTGAGTGTCTCTCACAGTTTCAACTGTACGTTCGCTTCATTTATTTTGAAAGCAAATTGGGCTACAGTGTCTCTCTACGGAAAGCGCCTCACGTACAAATCGTGGTGCGCAAACTAGTGATCCAAATTTGCTGCGGCCATTAAGCGGGCTTGTAGTCTGTGCGCCGCCGACTGGGTGAACTGATGTGAGCTGGCTGGTGTAAGAGCAAGCAGTATCCTGGTACGTGCGCTACGTGCGGTGCATGGACTATGGTTTCTGCCCGGTCGCGTCAGCAATGCCTAAGGCAATGCTCAGAAGCACCAAAAATCATTAAGCAAAGGCATGGGGCGGACATTCGTTTGGGTACCATGAGGCCTGACCAGAACGCGAAGCGTGAATTTTGGTGCCTTTGCTCCCGTCAAGGGTCTAGTTTGCCCGTTGACGGGCTCTATCCAAGACTATGAGTGAAGCTGTGATTCAGGTCAGCTGACACCTGAAGCGCAACGCAAGCTCATGCCTCCGCCACAAAAGCTCGGCTGTTCGCTTGCGGGTGCTTGGGGTGCTTGCGCAACGTTTCCCTGCTTCAGCGACGTCCATGAACATCTCGCGTGAGGAGATGCTCTGTTGCCGCAGCGGCCGGAGCAGCCGGACTCGGTGCCCTTTGATTCAGACGCTGCAAGCGGTGCAATGTCCAAGAATACCAGTACCTTGTGAGGCGCTTACTCGGAGATTCGAGGCGAGAATCCGGGGTCATGATTGAACATCCACATCACCCGTGGTGGGACTCTTCTTGCTCCTTGAGACCCGAGGCTTTGCTGGCCTTTCTCGCCCGGGCCTCTCCAAGCCACAGCCGCCGACCTCAAATCGAGGCATGGCCGGGGGACTGCTGTGTCAGCCATGAGCCATCGAAGCGAAGCCTGCGGATGCAGGTCTCGACCAGCGAGCTCGTCATGAACAGCCTGGGTTGCTTGAAGCTGAGCTGCGGCCTGCGGCTGCATGATTCACTGATGGACCTGCTGGGGTTGACTTTGCTGCCAACAGGGGGGGTCAAAATGTCCTGAAGTTTTCCTTTGGTTACACTCCGGGTTCAGGCCAGTTCTTGCAGCAACCGCAGCAGGCACGAGTTTCCCCCTATGAATTGCAAACGGACGTCCCGGAGAACCGGGAAGTGCCAAAGCAGTGCCACCACTCGAGTAGAGGTGCAGCAGCCGGTGCGGCTGCCTCTCGCGGGCGGCGCGAGACCCGAGGACCGGGCCTTCAGGGGCACCCGCATCCTCGTATGGAGACGGAGACACTGAGTCTTGCAGGCCACGGCGGCGCCGCACGAAGGTCCACGCCTAAATGCAGGCTTGGCGCTGCCTATGGCAACATGGCGCTGTGTTTGGCAGGGCCTCTGCGCAAGCAATGCAGGCATTGGATGCTGCGCTGCTGACCACCGTGAGACTGCTTTGCTCTCGTCAGTGCCGGCGCAGGACGAGGCTCTGGAGCTGGAAAGAGAACTGGCAGAGTGGGGACCGCCGCTGAGGAACTTCACTCGGGCTTGTTACGGAGCGATGTAGGACCCTGCCTGCACTAAGGGGAGGATGAGGACCTGGAAGAAGATGAGCTGGGGGAGCTCCAAGGCTGCTGAACATAGTCAGCTGACATAGCTATCGTGTACATCATGGTCCAACATTGTTCGAACAAGATAGTTCATGCTCGCGAAAGGTGGCGAGGAAGAAGCTGAATCGTCGCAGCTGCTAGGCTCTTGTCGCTGCGCAGCTGAATGGCTGTCCATCTCATGCTGCTGGCACAGGTTCTGGTTCCAAAGAGACCGATGATGCTTGTCCAAGCACAGAGAAACAGAAAGCAGCTCTGTGATGTTAAGCAGACACGTTTGGCTGTCTGCAAAATCTGGATTCCACCTGAGGAATCGGACTGGCAGCACTGGGTCCCCAAACTAAGCAAAGAGATGCCCGGCTGAAGTCGTCCCAATGCACAATGTCAGGGATTGCTAGAGAGAGTGCAGCAGTTTCCAAGGGCTGTCTGGCAAGCTGGCGTCTCAGCTCGTGCTCAGGGGCATGAGAACACGGGCTATCAGAAGCGGGTGTTTTCTCAGGTCCTGGAATCGAGGTATCGGGACAAGCGCAAATGGAAGGAGGTCATGCTCGCCCTGAGGACTCCATCCTACGACTGGGTGTAAGGAGCGATAGGCGAATGGCGCGCTAGGCTTTCCAACGGAGAGTTTGATGTGGTGCTCTGTGGTTCTGTGTGGACAGAGTCCCTTTATGTCCCTTTCTTGCGCTTTAGCCTTAAGCGGCAGGCGTGGTGATGTGCTCACCACCAAAGAGGAATATGAAGATGTGCTACTCCGTTGCATTGTTCTGCTGAGTCACCACTGCTTCCTCGGCTGTTAGCGGCGATTTTCATCGCTATGTGCGTGGAGGCTGAGCAGCATTTGCCGAAAACAATACGGGTGGCGGGATGCGGGGCCCCTTGTGGCGCCATACATGATACGCATGGTCACGTATCTCCCTGTTTGATCCGCGGCTGAGGCAGAAGTGATCTTGTCTTGCATGTGGCACAATGGTTTCATGCCAGACCACAGCTACCCAGATGCATTTAGTCTTTCGTCCGGTGTGTTTGGTTTTGAAAAGTTCTGTCATGTGAAGAGCATAGCAAATCCATCATCATGACACTCTGATGGTCATATTGGATGCTGTCAGGGGTATTGAAAGTCGGAAGGACGGCTGGTGTTGGCTCGTTCTCGTGACTCTTGATGTTGATGGCCACACTGACAGATAAGGACATTATGCCATCGCCACCTGGCTCACTATCTTGGCTGAGCGGTAGCTGTACTATGCTGAAATTCTGAAGGGTGGGCAGAGACTTCTCAGGTGATGAGCGCCTTCTCGAAAACAAGGCAGCGAAACAGGGCTTGGTAGCCACCGGTTGAACTTCATGCCGAGCAGGCGCTTTGAGAAGACCACGAGACTGTTCGAGGAGGGGGTGAAGGATTTGTTCAACTTATTTCCTGCAGCAGCCGATCACTCCTCAGGAGATGTGCGAGCACTTCCTCCCCTTAAGCCCGCAGTGCAGGAGCCTCGTTAGCAGGCCCAGGATTAGCCAAGAGTGCGTCAAAGCCGTGTCCAGCCTCTGAGGCTACACCCTTGGCATCGAGGCATACTGCAAGAGCTCCACTCGGCCATTTCTGAGCACTGCCAAATGACATGCGAATCACATGCCAATCATGCACTATGTCTCGTCCACGTCCCAAAGGCGGCAAGAGGTGGATGGCGCGCTGCAACTCTTGAAGGAGTCAGGGTAGTTGAATGTTAGTCGTGTTGGTTGCAACTGGGGTGTGTTGGGCACACGCGTGTTGAGAACAGGGGGGGTGCGTGTTGGGAACTGGGCAGGCGTGAGTCGGGAACGCAGGGGGGGTGAGTCGGGAACAGGGCTCATGTGTACAACACGCCGAATTGGTGTGCGGGTTCATGACACGTCGGATGTGTTCGCCTCGTAAGGTCTCCCCTTTGGAAGCTGAAAGAAGACTGTAGACCCAACTCCAAGTCGTCGCAAGAGGCCTTAAAAACAAACCTGCAGAGTAGGGTCATCACTCCGAAACCCATTTCTGGGGGGCAGCCGTTCCCAACTCAACCAGGGCGTGCTGTACACATGAGCCCTGTTCCCGACTCACCCCCCCTGCGTTCCCGACTCACGCCTGCCCAGTTCCCAACACGCGCCCCCCCTGTTCCTAACACACCCCTCGGCCCGCTCCCGACACTTGTAACCGACTCAACCTTCATCCCAGTGTGGTCCACATTCTGGGTCGTCTCGAATCGTCTCGTACAGCCGAAAGCCGAAGCCGACGTCGGAGCCATGAGGACATGCAAGCCGATGGTTATGAGCCCACGCCGCTTCCTCAGCTACAAGGATGGTAGTGGCTGGCAGATGCTTGTGGTCGTTTCCTCCGGGGGGGGGGGCGTGATCCAGAAAGTTTAGGCTATGTCGGCCTGTTCAGTTGAGCTGCTCTGGCGCTTAGGATGGAGATCTATGCGTCAATCATGTACGAATTGGGGAAGGCACACGCCTTATTCTGGCAGAAGGCTTTTTTCGATGACTGGAAAATGACGGTTTGTAAGCAATGACTCAATGACTGCACTGCATAGGCCGGATCTTGGATCAAATCGTGGGGCTCTCATCTGTCCTCTGTGCAGATCTTTGTGCAAGGCATGTGGTGATGTTGGGGGGTGCTCAACACAAGCAGGTTTGGAGAGTGGGTGGGTGAGGGGGGTGGAGTGGCTTCTGGCGTTCGGCGTGGAGAGAGGATGATGGTGCCGTCCAGTGGTCTAGGTGAATATTTATGTGACGCTCAGGCTGGAGCTCTTTGAAGACATGCTTGAAAGCGAGATGATACCCACCAGACAGGCGACTTGCGTCGGAGGGTCGTGCCCTGGACCACGCTGTGTTGCTTTGTCCTGACCCGCAGATCTTCAACCTCTTGGTGTTGGCGTATGGCCTGCAGCTGAACCTTTGGTCCATGCACGTGCAATACACGGTCGATGACAATTTCTGTCGCGTGAGCAAGAGGTTATTTAATGGCTACCGCCAGTGCCGCCGACCCCACCCTCCGCCATTTTAGGGTGCCTCAGGGCTTAGGGAGTTTCTTGGGTGGCTTCGGCTTGGGCAGCTTGGGGTAGTTGGAGGATTTGGGCGCCCTTTGCAGGGATGACGCTATGAGGGTTTAGGGTTTAGGGCTAGTTCGCAGCCTTTTGGGAGAGGGGGGGGCCTTCACACTGGTGGCGGGCGGTGCGGATGGCGGCTCGTCAGCGTGGGTGGCTCAGGGGGCGGGTGGCTTGGGGCGGTCTTGGTGGTTCGGGTCATGTGGGTGGTTGGGGTGATGTGGGGTTCGGGTGGTGTGGGTGTTTGGCGGCATGGCTTCGTTCATGTACAGACTGTACAGCCTCAGAGTGTCCTACTGTGCATACCTAGGCTGGGCACTCTGATAGGATTCCTGACCCTTGAGGCGGCTGCGGGCAAGTGAGCGAGGAAAGAAAAATACAAATTTGTTAAGTTTACCTGTAACTCCGTATCAGTTTTGTGGGGCCCCTGCAGGGTCCCAGGAAGGGACCAAGCAGGGCAGCCCCCCCAACTAGAAAAACCTAGATGAATTTAGAATCTGTCCCCATGTGCTTGCATAAAGGCCCACGGGAGGGGGACCCAAGGACCCCCCGGGGCAACCGGCACCCCGAGAACCAACGCGGATCCTGCAAAAACAGGGCGACCGACCCAAGGACCGGCGGAGGGTGGGAGAAGCGGGCGACCGACCCAAAGACCGGCGGAGGAGGAAGTTTTAAAACTTGCGTTTTGCGTTGTTCTATACGTCCTGTTGAGTCGGGCCTTTTTTGCTTTGTTCTAAGCGTCAAAGTGGGCAGATTCCAAATTCCACCGAATCCCGGTGCCCTATGCTCCCTTAGAAGGGCCCCCATGGCTCAAATCCTTCGGCTAATCCAGGGCATTTAGCCTTGCGAGCAGCACAACGGCAAAGTTTGGATTGCGAGCCAGGGGTCGGTCAGAAGAGCGTTTGGAAGCGAGGCTTCAAACGGCGCGCGAGGTTCACGAAGCGGGTTGGTTGGGGTCACACGCCCGACATGACGAACACCTCAAAAACATAGGCAAACGATGGAGCAAAGACAACAGAAACGAAGAAGCACGCAAAGAACAATGAAATCAGAAATACAAGCAAAATAGGTCACGGAGTTTCTCTCCTACTCAGGCAGAACAAATTAAAAGGAGAACAGCTCAAAAACATAGGCAAATGCTATGCCAAAAAACACGAACAAGCATGCAAACAGCAATGCAAACGGAAATAAAAGCAACGTAGGTGACGGAGTTCTTTCTCCCACCCAGGCATAGGACAAAAGAAGAACACCTCAAAAACACAGGCAAATGCTTGATCAAAACCCAGAGAAACGACAAAGGACGCAAAGAATGAAAACGGAAATAAATCCAAGGTAGCGGACGGAGTTTTACCTCCTGCCCAGGCATAGGAGAAAAGAGGAACGCCTCAAAAAGAGAGGCAAATGCTGGATCAAAAGCAACACAAACGCAGAAGGAGGCAAAGAGCAATGAAATCAGAAATACAAGCAAAATAGGTCACGGAGTTTCTCTCCTACTCAGGCAGAACAAATGACAAGGAGAACAGCTCAAAAACACAGGCAAATGCTATGCCAAAAATCACGAACAAGCATGCAAACAGCAATGCAAACGGAAATACAAGCAATGTAGGTGACGGAGTTCTATCTCCCGCCCAGGCATAGGACAAAAGAAGAACACCTCAAAAACACAGGCAAATGCTTGATCAAAACCCAGAGAAACGACAAAGGACGCAAAGAACAATGAAAACGGAAATAAAACCAAGGTAGCGGACGGAGTTTTACCTCCTGCCCAGGCATAGGAGAAAAGAGGAACACCTCAAAAAGAGAGGCAAAGGCTGGATCAAAAGCAACACAAACGCAGAAGGAGGCAAAGAGCAATGAAATCAGAAATACAAGCAAAATAGGTCACGGAGTTTCTCTCCTACTCAGGCAGAACAAATGACAAGGAGAACAGCTCAAAAACACAGGCAAATGCTATGCCAAAAATCACGAACAAGCATGCAAACAGCAATGCAAACGGAAATAAAAGCAATGTAGGTGACGGAGTTCTATCTCCCGCCCAGGCATAGGACAAAAGAAGAACACCTCAAAAACACAGGCAAACGCTTGATCAAAACCCAGAGAAACGACAAAGGACGCAAAGAATGAAAACGGAAATAAAACCAAGGTAGCGGACGGAGTTTTACCTCCTGCCCAGGCATAGGAGAAAAGAGGAACACCTCAAAAAGAGAGGCAAATGCTGGATCAAAAGCAACACAAACGCAGAAGGAGGCAAAGAGCAATGAAATCAGAAAGAAATACAAGCAAAATAGGTCACGGAGTTTCTCTCCTACTCAGGCAGAACAAATTAAAAGGAGAACAGCCCAAAAACATAGGCAAATGCTATGCCAAAAAACACGAACAAGCATGCAAACAGCAATGCAAACGGAAATAAAAGCAATGTAGGTGACGGAGTTCTATCTCCCACCCAGGCATAGGACAAAAGAAGAACACCTCAAAAACACGGGCAAATGCTTGATCAAAACCCAGAGAAACGACAAAGGACGCAAAGAACAATGAAAACGGACATAAAACCAAAGTAGCGGACGGAGGTTTACCTCCTGCCCAGGCATATGTCCTGCCCAGGCATAGGAGAAAAGAGGAACACCTCAAAAAGAGAGGCAAATGCTGGAACAAATGTCAACACAAACGCAGAAGCAGGCAAAGAACAATGAAATCAGAAATACCAGCAAAATAGGTCATGGAGTTTCTCTCCTACCCAGGCATAACAAAAGGAGAACAGCCCAAAAACATAGGCAAATGCTCTGCCAAGAAACACGAACAAGCTTGCAAACAGCAATGCAAACGGAAATAAAAGCAACAAGGTGACGGACCTCTATCTCCACCCAGGCACAGGACAAAAGAAGAACACCTCAAAAACACAGGCAAATGCTTGATCAAAACCCAGAGAAACGACAAAGGACGCAAAGAACAATGAAAACGGAAATAAAACCAAGGTAGCGGACGAAGTTTTACCTTCTGCCCAGGCATAGGAGAAAAGAGGAACACCTCAAAAAGAGAGGCAAATGCTGGATCAAAAGCAACACAAACGCAGAAGGAGGCAAAGAGCAGTGCGTCTGAACAAGGACAACACAAGAGCACCTTTAAAACAAAACACACACACACACACACACACACACACACACACACACACACACACACACACACACACACACACACACACACACACACACACCCACACACACACACACACACACACACACACACACACACACACACACACACACACACACACACACACACACACACACACACACACACACACACACACACACACACACACACACACACACACACACACACACACACACA